AAACTCGCCGTCGCGCCCATGTAGCTGCTTGAAGACATAAAATAACGCTAAATATTCTAATATACCAAAGAATATTTATTAATATGTACTCAGAATAACGAACGACAACAATATTTGAAATCAAATATCTAGTTTTCTGAAAGGAGCTTTTCAAAGTGAGTCCAGTAAGTCAATCCAGTCATAAATGTTTCTAACAGCGGCTCATATGATTTAACGTTGTCTTAACCTGTTACTTGGAAAGTACGATATCACATTACACTTTATAGAATTCAGTCACCCCGTAGTTATTACGAAAAAAAGAAATGGAAAATACGAAAACAAGAAATAAACATATAAGTACCTTAACTTCGTTCTGAAACAGAAGAAAATGAAGCCTGCCACTGTTTTTGCCATTCGGTTGTAAAGTTCAGATCTTACTTGGGCTTCAATATTTATATGCCGTATCATAATAAATATCTTGTTCTGGCGTATAAATTTACCACTTCATTGAAAAATGAAAATTTCTGAGACACATTTTTGGATTGTCCGTACCCCATTATGGTTTCTGCAATCAGTGTTGTCCACTGAATTGTAAAAATATAAGTTCAATCTCTTTTATTGTATTTAACCAATTATTTGTTGGGACAATCAAGCGGCCCCGAGACAATTTGTCTACCCAACCTCCACCTGAATGAGATGAAACTTTGTCCATTATCTATGTCAAGAGAACAATCATATGATTAACAACGCTGAGCCACGTGCGTAGACATTCCGAAGTGGATTCCGATGGACATGATAGGGAGATGTGAGATATGCAGTAACATCTTGTTCAACAGCCACGGGACAAGAACTGTATAATGTTATATTTGTAACATTTTGGTTCATTAGAACAAAACGTAAGCGACTTTCGAATTCTACAGCAAGAGGGTGATCGTATGTTCGTCCTCTTGCTGTAATCAGAGAAAACAAAACTTCCAGGCAGTCTTGATTGAATCGAGATGTACGGATGTATTTGATGCTATGATTGTTTTCATGTTCTTTCTGAAAAGAAATCAAATAACTAATACAAATTATGTATCCTTTTTGGAATGGAAGTAAGTGTTTCTTTTACCAAAATGCATAGTTTCACAAACTGCACAAAATGTTTTTAGTAATTGTTCTTGAGCTTGCATTTGCATTTCAAAAACAATTGCATTAGGACGATCGTCAGATTTCAGAGCTCTTGAATTCATTACGTCAAACCACCATTTACTAAGTTAATAAAATTAGATATTTGTTTTTGAGGCATGAGTACCTGATCAACATGATTAGACAGTTGACAAGCAAGATGAACTCTTTGGCGATCCCTTCCGAACACATTGATATGAGCAGGTGTCAATTTTGCGCATAATTTAACTTCCCTGCACTTCAGATTGCAAATCTTGCGAGTAATGTCTTTCGTAAAACGGAGACATGTTGTACATTATTAAAAAAAAGGTAAAAGATAAATTGATCTGCGCGTTTACAAACATGAATCCATTTTCTACCAAAAGGATAGGATCTTGCGGAAACGAATGACACTCTACTTCACTTTCTTTCGATTTTTGATTAGATTCTCACAAACTGACTACACAATTTGGCATGTTCGCAGACTGTAATAAAATGAGTTTTTTAACCTAATCTCACCTCAACTTGTAAACACACACAAGTTACAAACACGCACTCCAAAACACCACACTTTTCACGTGCACTCTAAAAAAATACGAAGTTAATGTCATATAATCTAAATCCAATATTTCACAAAACGCGACCAAACCGCAATAACAAACACGGACCAGTATTTCACGTGACAAGTTGCTTAAATTTTCTCGATTGTGACGTCATGCGCAGGACGACCAAAATGTATTCCACTGCGCATTCAAATGAGCACCCCCAGCGTGCACGCGTGATTCTCTCAATACATAAGCAATACAACCACTCAGAAAACAAATTTGGCGTCTTAGGTTATCAAACAGATTTTCTTCGCCTTCCTGGTCTCAATGACACTCCACTCGTGTCATCGACAAATACACATATAAACCAACACAAAGAAGCTCAGGAGCGCAGGATGATGGTTGGAGAAAAAGTCATGGCAACTTTTGTTTTTCTGAGAATGAGTGCACAGGTGGTAAATCTGAAATATGCACGCGAAAGTATAAGGGATGCACCAAGTGCATGGACATTTAACAACTCACGAAAATTGGGTTTCTCATATTTATTAAGGTATTAGAAAAAGACAGGACGATTTCATGTTCCAAGTCATTATATTATATAAGAGTTCAAAACATTCCAGAAGGATTACTTAGATACCCGTTCAAAAGCCCCGATTAGGCAGATGATCGATTACCACACGCGCCGCCCCGCTCACTCACAGGTCGTCACGTACGTTGCTGATCTCTGGTAGCTACGGCTCCTCGCAGAAACTCTGCTGCCCTTCTCGCGACTGTCCGGTATAGAAAGGCATTATTCCCAACAGCTTACTCCAACCTCCCTTCCCTGTGACATTCTGGGGGTTTTCTTCCACGGAGAACTGCTATATTGGTGTACGTGCGCTGCTCGCAACATCTCGCACGGAACTCGGACAACTGATTTCACATTGCTCTGTGCTAATAGATCCACACATTGGGAACACGCATTAGAACAGCATTTCTTTCATGCGACAAATACAATTGTGTGATCCGATAATACTTATTTTAGAAAGAAAATAGTTGAGATGACTTCTGCCACCCCTCGTAAGAATACTGCGCCAAAAACAGCAGATTCTAGTTGTAACTAACAGTCGTGGGTGTCATATCTCTCAGTAGGAAACTCCCGTGTGCCATCTCTCAGCAGGAAATTACCGTCTTTTCGATTTCGTCCGTCTATAAATCTAAAAGGATTTATTCATTTATTTAATTTACGACAAAAACAGTTAAAAACTGCGTGTGACATACTATGGGGAGAAGGGTATTCTGTACGTTTTCTTAATTCTGGAATCGCTACCGTAACCCAAGTTGAATTCTGAATACGGGAAGAAATAAGCGTTTTTGGCAAAAACGTTACCAAAATATTCGCTGCGATGTAATAAAATCTATTTTCAAGGGCAAATGAGCTGTAGATTTAGGCTCTTATCCTTCAGTTCTTCGTGAATAATACTTCGTGCCACGAGAAAACAGAGAACGATAGTTTGAATAGCTATATTTCCCACTGAATTCTAGAAGACGTGCAACAATAAACAATAATAAAGTTACATTTATGTAAAAAAAAAAAAAAAAAAAGAGCTATCTCAGCACTTGCTCAAAGGATCAGGGAAAGAGAACGAAAATCTCACTTGGGAGTCATTGACCCAGAATCCGGGGTACAATATTTGTTATAGGTTGTTTAGAATTATACAGTCCAAACTCTAAATAATGCATTAAATACCATTATTAAAATTAATATAACTTTCCATTTGCTTCCTCGGTATAGTCTCTAATTGTATAGAAACAGTTTTGCAGCAGAAAAGGTTTTATTTAGGTCTTAAAATTTTGTATGAAGTTAATCGTTTCATCTGGCAAGGTGTTGTAAAATAATGTACATATATAGTATGTTAATTTTTTGTAGAGAGTGCTGATTCTGTCACCTATTCCCCAACCTGGCTGATGTATATCGCGGCTCCTTGAATTTGAAACCGATATTTTAATTTTGGGAGGTACTTTACCTAACAGCCCTGGGATTAAATTTTGTTGCATAGTCTGGAAGACATTTGAGAGAATGGTGCACATCTCTTGGTTAAAAAACTCTGATTTTGAGAAAATTAAAATAATTCCTAATTTTTTGGCGTCTTCCTACAACTATAAGAAGATACAATTTTTGTTCTTAATGAAATGTGTTCATGAGAAACAGATTTTCAAATAAGGTCAAGTTGAATTTTTTTGCAACTATGAATATTTTTGGTGTAATTTGGCATCGAAGTTAGACGCCTGCTCTGGAAATACTGTGCTTCTTGATCGTAATTGTAAATGTTTTGAAGCAGTCAGATGCTGAGTTAGAATGTGTATAGTATTTCATATTTCTTTCTTCGTTTCTTACATTAGAGCTTGTGTTAGATGTTTACAAATTAATCTTTTAGAAATTATTTAAAACCTCTTTGAAATAAATATGAAATAAAGACTGCTAACCTTCAGGCACCTGCTCCCAATTTATGCAGTTTGATGCTATGCAAGTAGTATATTATTTCATATTTCACTTCATTACTTCCCTCTCCGAACAACAGTTTGTCTGGGGCAGCGAGAGGATCCCCCCCCCCCTTTTTTCCAAAGCAACTCGCGCCAGTGATTACACTCGAGCCGGGAAGAGCACTTGAGCAGGCCCGCAAAATCATGACAACAAGCAAGACAAACTTCATTACTATTATTATTTATTATATCATTTTAAATTCAGTTAAATATGAAAATGAATCATCGTTGGTTCGATCGTTCATTGTTGATTGTAGTTACCAATTTTGTAATGCTGCACAGATAACACGATAATGACGGCTGCTTTTCATTTGCGGAAATAAAAACGAATACTTTTATATATTTGTAGAATGTTACAAAACCATAGTGTTTAACAATTACTATTATATATTTTTCAATCTATTTGTTTTCCAACGCTATCAGTATCATATTATTTATTGTTTTAAACATTTTACTTTCTTGCATTCTGCTTATTTTTCGCACCAAATGTTCTACGATTTCAAATGAGTTTGACAAAAAATTATTCAGAGAGAAATTGTGACATAAATAATATTACAAAACCACTACAAATGACGAGAAAGTACGTTCTGTTTTAGAAACACTAGTTTTCTATATTCCACATTGCTTTTGTTTTGTAATGTTAGGGGGCTAATGCAATCCCTGTGTGGAGTGTATCCTAATTCCTTCCCAATTCTGTCCGCTGGGTAGTGACGCAGGGCGTGTAAACCTAGAATAAATTTGTAAAATAATTCATTAAAGCTATTGTTTGTGAGAAGCTCATGAATACGATGCCAAGAATCATCAAATAAAGTTATTCCAGCAACAGTGATTTATTTATGAAAAGGCTGTTTAACATATTTATTTTTTAAAGTTAATATGTTTCAGTTAATTGTAAATATGCATTTTTGGGATTGAACCCGGGCCACCTAGGCATTATCTGCGAAGTCAGTGCACTAAGCTACTTAGCTCGGTTTGAAATTATTAGTAGCATCCAAAAACTTTTGACTGGCAATGCATATAGCATGGAGAAAGTGAAAAAACAATTACATATGAAATCAGGATGCAAAACTGATTCATTAACACCCATTTTCATGATAAGTAGCAAATCGTTTCAACTCTGTGTACTTTAGAGACTGAAACAAGGGTGTGTGTGTGTGTGTTTTTATTGTGAAGTGACCAATTTCAAATTGCTTTTAATAGGACAGAATGTGACAGAAACTGAGGTACCCAGTTTTTGCAGTTTATTGCAACTCTTTCTCAAAGTGCTTGCTAGATAGCTACGTTCCAGATGCAGCTTCAATGCTAATAATTAGACAACTCAATTTCATTTTTGATTAACGCTCAAAGAGCTCTCTTAGCCATACAAAAGATGAATACACTTTGTTGAAATAATGTGGAATGGGAAAATAAGGCTAGAGTGAAAATGACAACAAAATTTCTCATTTGATCATTCATAATTAAGTTTATAGTCCACTTATAGAGCATACACTTGAGACTTGATTTCCTCAAGAGCCTATTGAATTGGATATATGATGAAATATGAATGGAAGCAAGACCCTAGTATTGACCGTTCTACTTAATGCTTTGTGTATGTATTCGTCCACATGACACCGGAGACCCAATCAACTTTTCAGTTCAATAAGTTATATAGATTAAATGTGTTTATATATATGCACATATTTCAGTATTAATTACATATCCCATCAAGAAATACATCAAATTTTAAGAATATCTAAAATGGATACTTTGTTAAGTTTCTATAAGGGCTTGGGTGCTATGCAACACCAATTTAGCATATAAGAAACATCACTGTTCTGTTCAGTACATGACATTCATCAAATGTACAGGATATATGGGGTCTTCTTTCAATAAAATTCATCATAATCCATCATTTAACATGCAGTCACAAAATGTTCACATTAGCAAAACCTAAATACTTCAGAGAAGCTTCAGGTTTCTTATAATTACACATAATTTGTTTAAAATATAAGAGGACAAGGAATGCTTTGATCTATCAGTTTGCTTTGATCCTTGAAGCACAGGAAAGCCCTTTGAAAAAACAAAATGAAGACTCCACCCCATAAAGCTTTCCCACAAGTAAACTTGAACCAATGTCACTTAAAAAGGGTGAAGGAGGCTTATTTTAATTCTCAAATGCAAGGTATCTAGCTATAGCATAAAGAACTAGCATTCTTGCATGCAAGATGTCATGAACTCAGATGTGGGAGACGAAATTCACGTCTTATGTAGAAGAGTATATACGGCTTGCATTTGGCTACAACATCTGCTTCTGTAGGACGCACTGTGCTGTCATTAAAGTGGAACCACTGACCTACAACAAAACATCAATTAATAACAATATTGGACATGCATTATAAAGTGAAATTTCACAAGAACGCACATTTCAGAATTCACAATTTTGAAGTTTAAAAAATTGAGAATTACATTAATCATATTGTTCATCTAATTAATGAGTAGCAAGATTTAGTTAACTTCAAGGTAGAAAATAAAGATAGCATGTCAATAATATTTAGCAATTGCAAAACATGAATGATGTTAATAAAAAATGAAATGTACATTTATATAAATATTTTAATAAAACCAAACAATGAAGTCTGCCACTTCAATATTGAAGTAAAGTCAACATCTTCTGAGGAAAGCCCACAGCTACTGTTGCATCTCAAGATACCTGCTGGAATATTTCTAGATGGGATCAGTCCACTGTCTTGGCTTAAGGGAGAAGGGAGGATACCATACAATTCGTTGTGCATTGTTAAGCTCTGTCCCATCATTCATCTGGAAGAGCATAACGACCGATCAGAGTAACTTGTTGGCCCCTCCTATCCTCATGCAAGCACCACTCTACTTTGCAGCTACAGCAGCAGTGGTTAGAAAACTCAACCTCCAGTACTATGAAACTTCAGATGCGAACTCACAATATCACTGATAAACTGAGCCAAACAATCGTGGGACAAAATTTGAAAGGACGTGTGTCTCCTAGACTGTGATGACCTACAAGTTGCAAGTCTAGAAGTCGGTCAGCTTTATACTCTTGGAGAACGTGTGGGCTGCAAGGCAAACTCACAACTGCATACATGTGCAGAAAGTTGTCAATGTCACTACGCTTATTCTAACCCAAGGAAAATAAAATAATGTACATACATGTAAAAGTGAAACTTTTTTTTCAGGCTGGTTGTATTTGTTTACTACCATTCATATGCATGGAAAACAGCAATTATCACACTCAGAAATGATTCTAATAAGTACGGAGGCTCCAGACCACTGTCTCTCTAATGTAGTGGCTAACAACATTAATAATAATAATATAAAAAATAGTAATAATAATATAAAAAATAGTAATAATAATATAAAAAAATAATAATATAAAAAATAATGATGATGATGATGGTGGATGTAATGCACTTGAAATATGTCAAAGAAGATTTTTTAAATATTTGGATTTCATGATGGTGATGATATACCCACGGAGGGGAATCAATAACATCTAACAACACCCATGGGTAGACGATGGGAGAAGCATTGCTGGGAAACATACTCCCAAGCCCATCTTTCTTGTCCTGTTGGCCAGGTAACATACCATGCGAGCAAATGAAATGAATGAATACATGGTTTGGTGATGCTATACATTGACGAAACAATCACTACTGATCTACCCTGACTAGTTATAGACAAATATCCCAGCATACACCGTAAAACAGTGCAGAACATCATACATTAACGTAGATCAATATTTACGAACAAGAGAATAGCTGCAGACAGAATCATCAAGATTAAGGAAGAAGTAGCTACGGAATTCAGCAAGGTATAAAACATGAACACCCGAGATATGAATGAAGAATGTCAAGATAGTGTTGCCAAAGAGCCTTCACATCACAAGAAAAAAGATAAAGACATCTTTGAAACCAGCAATTTGAAGAATGTTGAACCATAAGACCTAAGCTGCCAAAAATCATTTTCAAATATAGAGACAAAAGTCCCTTATGATAACCACATAAAAACAGATCAGTTAAAAGATGAAAATTCGCAAGAATACCTGCATAACTTGATGTACATTGGAGCAATGCCAGTTCACATTCAAAATGAGCAACATGTCGGCAGTATCAAGCCAAAAACGTAGGAAAAATCCAACCCTCTACTATAAGAATGAAGACTATGCTCCAAAATTGACCACATCAGAAGATAATGACATTCAGTCTGATACACAAAACTGAATGCTTGAATGTAAGAATAATAATTATCTTGGAATGTCTGAAAATCCAGGAGCATATTGAACTGGACACAGTACTAGACAATCAAAACAAATTCTTGCTGCACTTGCAAAACAATTCTGAAAAAAAGTGAGGCATGTCACAGAGACAACAATAATTTTAGAAACAACCGAAAGATCTTCAGAAAGCTAAGAAGCACAGCATTCAATGGGGAATCAGGCACATACACCCAAAGTTGATGATACTTTCAGTTTTTAGCAAAATACTTGAGGTGAATCTGCTATTAACAAAAAAAGCAAAATGGCAAAGGAATGAAAAGCACTGTATTTCCAAGTTGAAAATCATGTTAAACTGGAAAATCAATGAAGTGAAAACAACTCTAACCAACAATGCATGCACACACACAAGACAAAAAATACATCATCTTCCAAAAGAAAAATGGAACATTTGGGTCCCTATTTGAACATGAAGTATTTTCTTCCCAAATTGTTTATATTAACAGCTAGTTTTGTGTATTGTGTATCAATAGTTAATAACCATTAAATATAAAAAAATTGACATCTGCTCCACTTTTGTTGCATTCTATTTAAATACTATGAACTAAAATATCAATCACCAGCAGAGAGAGAAAAACTTACCATCATTAATTGCAAATGCTGTGTAATGTCCAGATCCTGCCCTGCAAATAAAAGAAAATATATAAGTCTTATATATAACTGAATTCCATAGCTTAAAGTCGCTAACTAACGAGCTCATGAAGCTAATGAAAATAGTTATTTAAAAAATTAAACAACAGTAGTTATTTGCACTAAAAACATTAGTTAATTTATTTCTGTCTTCTCAGAAATCAATTTCTTTTTTTGTTCTGAAATTTATATCTAGAATGTTTTAATTGTTCTTGAACCATTTAATTTCAAAAACCTCCATTAGAAACACAGACATAATTAGTAAATATATTAGTCTGAATTATTTATCACTTTTGTAATACATATTGTTATAATAATCCATAGCCTATCAACATCCATCTGCCACATTTCCTGAGATAAACAGTCAAATACAAGCAAAAAAATTGAATTCATGAATTTTTTGAAAGTGGATAAAACATTGAAAGATTTTTTAAATTTTGGTGCGGTCACCCATTCAAGAATCTGTGGTGTCTCGAGTTGCTTTACTTCCATAATTTCACAGAGTAGTTCAACAAATCTTGAAACAATGCCGGCTATTTGTATCATAACATCTTATAATACATTATTGGTTATCAATCTCAGGTCTAATATCCTCAGTTGATTATTACAACCCTCTCATTATTAGTTATTTATGAAATAATTACATAGAAAAGGAATCATACACAATATAGACCTGATTATAATTTTATTTGCAATGGTATCTCTTAGGGAACACTTTTTACCACATTGGCTGAATGATAGCTCAGTCCATTTACATGCATCTAAAACCAATACCATAGGACCAAGGACAATTAACTTTTTAATTCCATAGAATGCTAAACATATATGCAACAATCTCTGTATTAACACCAAATCTATACATCTGAATGACATTGAACAAAATCTTTTGCCATGATAACAATGTTCAAAGGCCTTTTGCACTTTCAAAACTTTAAACTCCCATACCTGTTATTTCACTTTTTTTCCCTTTCAAATACACTCAATATTTGTTATACAATACTTTCTGTATAGGTAGAGAAAACTTCGATTAATATAATATAATTTTCTATGTTGTAATATTGATATTACTTTCTTGCAATCTGTTTACACAGTGTAGAGAAGGTATTGTAATGCAGCAGAAATAACTCTAATTGCAGGGCCCTGGTAATGAAAAAGTATATAGAATATCTCGTTCCTATATGTAGTAAATTACATCCTCTAAGAAGTTGTGTATTCAGAATCCACTTGTGGTGGGTCCTTGATACCAAAAATTGTATTACAGAAAAAAAAGTGTCCATCTGCCCGTCAAGAAAGCTTGTGGCTAAAACATAAAAAGGATTTTCACCAAAATTGATATTCCCTGATCAACATAACTGATGATGCATGAATTGGAAATGGTTATTTTAATTTTTGGGTATACCTCATATTTTCAAAATTTTCTCAAAAATGGAATTGGTAAAGGAGAACTGAAAATACAGCAGGTTAATGCTCTTTTGGCAAAATTTTGTTTTGTGGCAATGAACTCATAGTTTGGAATGTTCAAAATCATCTGTTTGCTTCTTGCTCTTAACATTGACGATATCTATTCTAATCACCGACAGTAATATAACCCTTTGACTGAAACAGGCACCCCTACAGTGATTCATGCTGCGTGCGCAATACATCTGGCCGTCGCCAGCACTGTATGCCGAGACCACCCCTCGGGTTGTGATCAGCGCTCCTGTTCTTGGTAACTTTGGAATTATGGAACAAATCCAATCATAGCCAAAACACAGATACAGAAAAATCTTTGAATTCAACCAGCAAAAGGCAAGTAACAAAAGACAGGGCAAAAATATCAGTTAGGTAGGACCTCACAGGACTTCAAGAACCCCAGCATTTCGCAGAATTGAAAAGAAAACAGTGAAAGTGTCAATGCCAACATAAATTTATTTTTGTAAGCCTGAGCCTGGTGAGAGAGAGACTTCCCAACCCTCCTTGAAGCTCACTCTAGTGATGCTTACAGAATTTAATTAAGCCACTTCAGTCATTCCTGCACTGAACCAGGCAAGAAGCATTCGTATCATGGCAAAACACCAAACTAACCAATAGAAATGTGAGAGTAATGATCCAAAATGGCAACAAAATATCAATTTAGTGTGCTGAACCACACATAGGTACTTCTAAAATTATATCAGGAATCATTTGGTCATAACAGCAGGAAAACCATTGTTGTGTATCAATGTTACACAATATATAGGAAATAAGAATAAAATATGAGATTTTTGTTTTTTCAGATACTAATGAAAAAAGCACTTATGTTGTGAGACACAGTGAACAATGCTCTAATCTTGCCAAAAGTAATATGAAAATATTTGAAGCCATTTTTAAGAAAATGTTAAGAAACTATTTCTGGAAAATGAAAACTTATTGAATTATTTATTTCTTGTAAAATAAATTTGATTCAAAATTGCATGAAAACTATCAATATACTGAAATGTACTAAAATGCAGTCCAAGACACTTAACACTTTCCTAAAAACATTTCTGATACATCATGTTCATGTTAATGTGATATCCTATTGATATGTCATACATTCTTCTTCATTCATCTTCTTTGAAAGGCTGTAAAAGTCTCTCCAGTGTTCGTACGCACCATATGCTTCTTAATAGTATAATGATTGCAAATGTGAGCTTCTAATAATTGCAAATCTTTTTCAATTTTTTCCTGGAAGTGATTAGTTATTTGTATTTGCAGGCATTCTTGATTACGTTCAGAATGTCTTTCTTTGTAAGTAGTGTTCATGCTGTTAGTGACATATACAAATGTCAAATTCACAGCAAAACACATTATAAATTCAAGAATTTTTGAGTAATGGACCGGAACTAGATTCTTTAATGAAGATGACAATTTTCTTCCTGAATTGTTCACTAGTTTGAGCAATAAAAATTATATCAAGGAGACAGATAATGGAGAGAATTACTCAATTGGTGAGTCTTTCAAATTTAAGAGTTTTCATTTCCTTTAGAATGAAATTGATGAACAATGTAAATTGCAAGTGTTTGAGAAATCCAGTGAAATAAATTTTTCTGAAAAAGAAGACTCAAATGGACAAGGCAATATCATATTTTATTGTTTTCACCACAGTATATTTCTTAAAATTAAGGCAGAAACAAATAAATATGCAATTGGAACTATTCCTGAACTTCACTGCACTTTCCCATATACTTTACATTGTTACTTTCACCAAAAAAAAAAAATTTGAAATTTTTGAGATACAGCATACTGTTTGCTTTATGGTAGTGTCGTTTTGTTTTATGATCTAACTTTGGTCTCGCTACGCATGTATACTGGAACAGTCAGCATTCGATTCCCGACAACAAATTTCACGAAATATACTTCTGGGTGAAATTTCCGCAAAATCAATGTGACAGTGCACGTGGAAATTTTTTAAGGTTACTGCATTATTTACAGTCATCATTTTGTGAGTAATAGCAATTTCTCTTTTGTAAACTTTTGAGAGGTAGGAAACAACATAGTAACATACCCAGTATTTGAATTATTAACAAAAATTTGGCGAATCAGTACGTTACACAAGGGTTGAACTTTCGTGTATCTTCTAAGATACATCTGACATAGACAGAATGTACAAAACTATTGCGCATAATATTGCTTCTCCATAACATGGCTCTTCTAGAAGAGGAAATTAACTTTTGTAGTTGTCAGATGGTTACTCATCTGACATTTATGGTGATGTCTGATTTTGATGATACATATGTTCCTTGTACAAGAATTAGGAAGGCAGCGATTCGGACGATGATCATCAAGGACAAATGCTCAAGTTTGAAGTAACCATTGAAATGTTTACCAAATAATTTTGTATGTGTACAAAAACTGTGTTGTTCCTCTGTTCAGTATTATAGTTACCACTCACGCCATCGTATATCCTGCGATACAATATGTTACTATAAAATCAATTCATGTATTGTTGAAAATTTAATATTTTCTGCCATAAATGATCTATTTAGAGTGAAAAATACTCAAAAATAATTTTTACTACATATAACACAGTATACAAGGTTCAAAGGGTTTAAGAGGAAAAACAATACTACAATATTTTACCAGTTCAAAACTGATGTGTATGATAATTTTCCATTAACATTTTGAATAAAAGCCTTATTGCCCAGAACACAGGAGTTAACTAGTGTAACCCTGAAAAGTGATTCTATTACCGGGCTAAAACTGAAGAATTGATTTCATTAAAAAGAAAAATTTAGTTTCAATAATGAAAGTGAAGGAAAGACTAAAAAACTTTTCCAATTTTTGAAACTACGCTTTAACGACCATTACACTCTTACCACATTAATATGCACACATTCTCTATTCAAACACAAAATTTAAAGAAATTTGGAGCCATTTTTAAATTGTAGAATGAGTTTCATAAAAAAATATAAGATTTATTAAAATTTTCCTCAACCTTAAGATGGGCTAGTTAATTTCCATTTCAGAGAAAATTCTTTTTCCCCATTTTGGTTCTAATTTTGCTCAAACAGACTGAAAAATGTTCTTTAAAGGTATTTTTTGGTATCAGGTATCCCAAAAATTATACTTGTGCAGCAACATTACTTATTCAAGGAAGTAAAAAGAAAAATTAAATATGACTGACATTATGAGCTTCAGTTGAACATTCTAAAATTTTGAAACGAAGTGTGAGCTTATTAATAGAATGTTTTGCCATTTAACAGTAATTCACTAACCCTGTTCCGTGATGAACAATTACAGCAGCTAAATCGTAAAGATTACTCCCAGTTCCTGAACGCCGTGTATCTCTCATACTGCTGAGAACAAAATGAGACATATCCAAGGCCGTCACAGGGAATAATATGTGAGTGTCTATTTTGGTTCGGAAGAAGTTATGCCACCGAAACCGTTTTAAATGAAGACACAGCACCTGCAAATAAGTGATTTCATATTTAAGCTTTACAATATTTTCTGGGCAACTTTACATAATTTATGATGTAATGTAGCACAAACTACTACACATACATTAGGCAGTCTGCGAATCCAGAAGCGTTTTGTAGATCTTTGCTTACTTTTACAGTTATTACAGTAGTAAAGTTCAGTCTCAGCCAACTCTTCAACTTCTATAAAACTTGTTAAACAATCTGAAATAATAGTAAAAAACAAATAATTAGCTTGCTTAAAAGGAAAGGATCTGGAAATTTATTTAATAAACTTCGTGAAGTTGTACCTTGAGATTAAGATCAAAATTTGTAAAATACTTCCATTTACCAATTCTACATCTACTTTCATTCTTTGCTTTCTTTAATCCAATCACTGTGATAATATCCACAACAAATTTATAAAATCACACTACAGTGTTGCCATATATTTACCAGTAATGCTACAAGGAGGAGATGTTTCTTCACTCTCTTTAGATTTCTTGGGGATAAACTGAAATTTTTCTGGAATATCCAGGGAGAGATCAAGGAAAGGATCATGTTTCTTTGATTCAGTACAACAGTTCAGACACCGAACCTGTCAGAGAAAGATAAGAAAATGAATCACAAGTTATGATCACTTACAATTCAGAGGAAGAAATCAACAAGTTCCTTCACAAAGATAAAAAAAGTTTATATTTATATAAGTTTCAACAACAAAAATAATGTTTCCAATATATTGTACAAAACTTGTATGCACAGCCTAAATAAAGTGAAAATAACTTACTTCACTTTGAAGAGTGCCTCCAAAAACACTAGTGACAATAGAAGTTCTTCCTTTCTGGGCAAGAGAGATGTATGGACTTTCCTGTTGGGTGAAGTCTGGTAAAAGGTGCAAAAGTTCTGTGTGCAGACGATCCAACATATATCGCAGAAATTCATGAGCATCTTGCTGCTGATAACCTCTGTAGAAATGTTCAACATCTCTCATGAGTTTTAAAAGAATACATATACATTGCAAGTAATATGGCGTTTCACTACTTTTACATTGTTGAACATTATTCACTTAAAGTTATCATTAGAGATGTTAAACAATCTAAAATGATACTAAAAATAACAGACAGAGTCTAACAAAGAGTAACATGCTCACCTAAAACGAGGTACAACCTTCCAAATGACTAAAAATAAGGATTCAGGTGATATAGCACCTTTTGTTCCACCCTGAGTTAAACTTATAATGACCTTCCTCAATTCTTCTGTCATTAACGCATCGTTTGTTTCTTTATAACTTCTTGAATGGTACACCCGCTTCCCGTTACTTCTTTGACAATCAAATGAAGGAAGTTGTTTGAAATAATAGCAAAATTCTTGAATGTTGCTGGTGGGAAAAATTTAATACATAAACAAAAATTCATTAAACTCAGAGGGCTGTTAAATGAATAAACATTAATGTATGAACTCACCTCAGAGACTGCAGAACTGCATTCATAAAACAAGTGTTCCCTAAATTTCTCAGTCCAACAACTTTCTTCTCTCGCAGTTTAGGGCTAGTTTTCTCTTTCTCCATAAGTTGCCTTTTATGCCTATGGTTTTCACTGCTCTCTGTAGGATGAGTTCTTTTGAATGAAAAGGAAATTAACCAATTAATAATTACATCTCCCCAAAGGTATAATTTTATGTGAACTGTGGAATTGAAACAATGAACTATCATTAAAAATTAATGTCCATTCTATAACATGAACCTGATATAAAATTAAACTGAACTGAAAAAAAAAAAAACTAACATAAAAAGTAAAATCAACAATTCTTACTTACTACAGCAAATGTCTATTAAATAAGTAATGTTTCTACCTCTTCCTTGAGCGAGGGCGAAGCATTCTAACATTTTCTTGTATTTCCTTAGCGGCAAGTGTTATTGATTTCCATGATGATTGGTTTTCATTTGATGTTGATGACATATTGTCTTCACTACCAGTCGATTCATATTTATCACATAAACACTGCCGCAACTGCTCTAGTAAACCATTCTCTGTGTCATTTGACACAAACTCATCACAGGTGTAGCTACAAATAGTTAATAAGCAAAAGGAAATTACCTACAAACTGAACACACAACATAAATGATTTTCTATCACCATAATACTGCAATACACACCAAAATACAGAAAAATTTTCACAATCCATACAAACTGTATGTTCTTCATGTTCTTCAGAGTGCTCTTTGGCATGACCTTTAACATATCGGCCGCAATTCACAATTCCACAATGCAAGCACAACCAGGGGCTTTCAGTAGTTGAACACACTGTAAATAAAATACGTTAATGGTATAAGATGAGCAGGAACAATATATGTTAATACGCAATTACAGATATTTTCATTGAAAATTTCTCCGGATGTGAGGGGAAAATTACGTTTTTAATTGTTTTCAAATATATAAAATGACGTAAATGATTCAGTTAGTATTATTGAGATTTCAAACTGATTAATTTTAGAGAAACTACATTGCCCTCTCAATACAAACGGTTGGGCACATTTATTTTCTTTGTAGTCAATTTTCATTATTAAAGCAAATTCACCCTGCATATCTTCAAATCTCGTTTAAAAATTGTTCATTGCGGATAATCGACCAATTGTAAATGACGAAAGGATCAAGCACATCTTAGATTACGTTTCGGGGTATGATAATTAACATATCCCGCATCGTAATCACCACAATAATGAACGCTAGTATTGGCGTTTCGTTTGCCCAACAATGGTGGCCCATGCAAACGAGAAATCGCAATTTCGTTTAGTTGTAACTCGTATTTACGAACGGTGAATAAAAGTCAATTTCTAATTACCCACTCAATCATATTTTTGGAAAATCACAGCGTACTGAGATAAGTAAAATCCATACGCACCTGCACATTGCCACTCTTTTGTTAAATCACTTTTCTCCTGTCGTGGATCATTATTAATTTTCACGCAGCTAGTAAGGTGAGGGCACTCCATTATTTTCTTTGCAATATCATTATATGAATTCAATTACCCTACACGCTATACCAAAAGGTAGGGTAATCTGCCAGCACTGACAGTTCGTTCTCTCCATGCGATCACAGCAGTGGCTGCGTGCAGGACTCGGCGCACGGAGGACTAAACAAGAAACGTATTGCGATTGTCGAGGACCTGCCTGCACAGTGTATCCTTGCGCGTCAACAAAGCTTTGCGAACCATGCCGCATAGCCCAAGACCAATGGAAGGGGAAGTGCACGATGATCCTAAAAAGTACAGTACTCGATTCTGGGCTTTCTTTTATTTTTTTAACTGCGTAAATTCACGTAAATTGGCAACAAAAATTACCTCAGAATTACGTAAATTGATACTAGCTGCAAAACTGCCTCCAGCTTCATCATAATGCATTAACCTATAAACTATGTACGTTCCAAGATGAGTATTACTTTTCTCATTGAATTCACAAATTAATTTTTTAAATCAATTTCGATTTAATTGTGATAGGTTACATGGGATCAAAATACACAGGAAATAAATAAACACATATAGGATCCATTTATATTTTAATATTTAAACATTGTAATACAATATGGAGATTTTTATGGGCGACGACCGTAATTTTGATTGGGAGGTTGAGTCAACTGAAGTCCATTAATGTTATTGAAATCCTGTAAAAATAAAAGGTTTTCATAAATACATTTTACAAAATTTTATTTTATAACTTGAGGCACAAAGCCTCCCCAGTTCAAATTTCAAACATACCAGCATTCTCAACATTTCCTTAGTCTCTGGATCCACTTCAATAATATCTTGTTCAAGAGCTGATACTTCAGGAACATAATTATCCCTTCGCTCACGCTCCTCCTCCTGCAGTTTGATGGATATTCCTCTCACCTGGCTATGGCGCAAACGCTTCATAAGATGAGTAACGAACCTGTTAATGGATAAATGTTAGTAAAATAAAATACCAATTGCTTTATAACTTCACCATGAACACATTTGGTTGAGCTCTTTCTACTTGTGGTGGGAGGAGAGCCAGGCAAGGGGTACATTTTTGTTAAAACTTATCTGTATTTAGTTCGCTGATGAAAATTCATTTGATTACTCAGGTGTGGTAACAAGTAATTTAAAAACGGAATATAAGATACAAATATAAGAGTGGAAAAGAGATTCTAGAGCTCAAGGAACCACGCACCGGTACATTTCTGTAACTGGGCGTTCTACCACCAGTTGATCTAATGTATACCCATCCCTCATACTGTTATCCTCTTTCATCAAAAATTCAAATTAGAGAATATTATAATCAAATGTGACTAGTATATTAGGGATTAAAAAATGTTTTTATCTCACAAATTTTACTTCAAGCAGAACGGGGGGTTGCATATCATGCAATGAATGTACATTATTGAAAAATACAATTACCTTTACAGGCAACCTAACTCGCATATTCTAGTAACTAAGAAAACAATCTTAATGATATATAAATACATTTCTCGATAGTGTTGTCGATTTTACAATATTGCACAAGTAATAAAATTCATTTTCATGTTTCAAACCACTAACCCTGCAATTTTGTTGCGCAAAGGCTTGCTGGGAATGATTGCAATTTCTTCACATATCCTCTTGTTGGTATGAAAATCCAAAGTCAGCCTCGTGTAATATTTTTCAATAATTACACGAGCTGCCTTCTTCACAGTCTTCGTTCTCACACGACCCTAAACAAATTTCATACATCAAACATGATCCGATGCTTACAAACATCATGATTTAATAAACACATATGACACCCAAACAGTGAAAAAGAACATTCATTTCAAGCAAAAATGATAGGATGGATAAAGTAAAAATTGATATAAATATACAAATAATGACTAAACGCCAACTTACCATCGTGGATTTGCCCCGGAAGAGCCGACAACCAACCCAAAGAGAAACAAATGGCACTGCCTGAACGATTCCGATCCGAATGGTTCCGCAAAGGAAAAGCACGGAGACTTTGCACTTCCGCTTGTATTTGACTTGAATCTCCTAAAAAATGTGTAAAGAAAGTTTAAAACTCCTTTATTGCGTATAATAAATATCAATATGAAATTTCAATGCATTTTATTACATATTTATGATTGCATATGAATGATTGCACATGAATGTAGGGGATTCAAAGACCAAGCTTTATATGGCGGTACATTTGAATTACTCCCATTAGTAAAGACCAAAGACATTGTAATAGTATAAGCAAAGACTAACCAGAAATAAGTGTGTTATAATAATGATGCAGATTGTTAAAAAGTATATTAATTAGGAAGAGAAAACATTTTGTGAATAAATGGTTAAAATACCTGTACACCATACTTGAAATTACGAAAAAAGTGTATCAATGAATGACCAAAACTTACTAAAGATACAATTAAAAGATGACTAACAACTTTGTAAATTTCTGTACTTTTTACTTTCTTGCTCATACGTAAATAAGAAGTTGAAGTATTCTATCCTTTCGCCGGAAAACGGCGAATTTTCGCAATAAAAACTCTTATTGCGCTGACTTGGTAACGAACAAGTGAAAAGTCTTGTATTTAGTAAATTACGTTCTCTAACACATTGTGTAGTCAGAATCCACATTTTGGGGGTTCTTGATAACTAAAAATATATTGACGGCAAAATCTCCGTCCGTCCATCCTTTGGCAACGCTACCGCTTAAACCTTTCAGCAGATTTTCTCCAAAATCGATATTCCTCATCTGGCTGATGTCGCGGCCCGTAGAATTAGAAACCGGTATTTAAGATTTGGAGGGTACTTTACATGAAACCGCTGGGACATTTTATGAATATTAAAAAAAAATGACACGAAAATTTTGTTATCAATTTTTGTTGTCGGGTTGACGCTAAAGGCATGTTTTTTGTTTCTGAAATCTCTGATTTTTCGAAAATTGCAAAAGTTGTTTTTTGTGCGTCTTCCTACATCTAAAATATTGTAGATAGAGATTTTTCCCTTAATGAAATTTGATCTTTAAACACGAATTTTGAAAGAAGGTCGTGTATATGTTTTCGAAAATTTGAGTAATTTTCGCGTAACTTTTTCTTGGAATTAAGGCAATTTTAAATAATTTTAAACATTTTTTCTCAAAAAGCACAAAATAATTTGATTAAATTGTGCCCTCGGATAACATAAAGAACGCAGGTGTGATGTGCGTTGAAATGCCTGATTTTTCGAAGAAAAAAAAAATCGGCGTCTTCCTACAACTACAGTTATGAAGATACATTTTTTCTTAATGTAACGCGTTCATCAAAAAATCTTCAAATAATGTTGAATTTTTCGAAAATATGAGAGTTTTTTGAGAAATTTGGTGTCAAACCAAGTCACCCACTCCGAATATCCTGCGCTTCGTGAACGTTGTATGAGAGGTAATATCAAGTGGTTGGATGCTACCTAAGTTAGAATTGGTATATTGCTTCATATTCCTTTGTTCGTTTCATACATTATAGCTTTTGATGTATGTTTACAAGTTAATGTTTTAGAAATTATTTAAAATTTAATTGATAATCCATATTTTTGGCCGTATTGAAAGGAATAAATTTGCATTCTCAATAAATGGATACTTTTTTTTTTATTTACGTCAAAAACAGTTAAAAACTATGTGTGATGTTCTGGGGGAGAAGTTAAATTGAAGTTACATTTTCTTTCAAGCAATCCGAAAATCTTAAGTGAAATCAGCCCATTTCGGTTTTCGCTCTTAACAATATGATTTAAATGTAATAGGAAAGAAAAATTACTGTAGCCTTCAGGAAAAGTCAAATGGATTGCAACATTGGCATTCAGCCCCGCGAGACGGCAGCTGTAGTTCTGTGATTTACGTCTCATTATTGGGACATGATTTATCTTTATGAAATGCAGTAATAACAGTCAAATTCGTATTGATATTTGCATGATAATACTTAGTTTTAGCACCTAATGTTCTACGATTTGTGACTACTACATACTATATTACAACGATATGACTAAGATTTTTTATTTCGAAAAAAAATGAGGTATAAATAGTATTACATAACTAGTATTAAAGGCATTACTACGTGCGGTTTTAGCACCACTAGTTAACTACATAAATACATAATACAGAGAGAAAGTAAATATGCCTTAGAAAGGAATATTATGAAGTTGCTCCTGAACTGGTGGGGAGTTGTAGGGTATCCCTGCATTATCATATCTAACGAACAGGACCAATAGCCACATTGCTCCCCCACCACTCTAATTGCCCCGTTGCCATCGCAGCTACTCTTGTTTTCTAGGAGAGTTTTTCCATTGATCTAGTGGTGTAGGTCTCACGTTCGTTCTGATTTTATGAAAAGTTAAAAAAATAAAAACGTTTGCCGTCTTTCTACAACTACAATTGTGAAGATACATTTTTTCTTAATTAAATGTGTTCATAAAAACAGATCTTTGAATATGATTATTCGAAGATCGGTTTTTATGAACACATTTCAAAAAGAAAATAATTGAATCTTCACAATTGTAGTTGTATGAAATCGCCGAAATTTTAAAATATTTTTAAAATTTTTAAAATATCAGGCATTTAATCGAACATGAGGCTTGTACCATTCTCTTAAGCGTCCTTTATGGTATCTAAGGTCCCAATTTAATAAAAAAATGTTCGACGGTTTTTAAGAAAAAAGTGGTTTAAAGAAAATAAAAATTGCGTATGTTTGACCCAAAAATTCGCAAAGAATACTTTACAAAAAATGAACATAACCTTATTTAAAGATCTGATTTTGATGAACACATTTCATTAAGAAAAAATATCTTCATTATTGGTTTTGTAGGAAGACTCCCAAAAAATTTTGAATTTGTTCAATTTTTGAAAAGTCAGATTTTTTCAGCTAACATGAGACCTTCACCTTTTTCTTAAACGTTCTTCGGACTATCCAAAAATAAAATTTAATCAAAATCGAAGGAACAGTTTATGAAAAAAATGTTTAAACAAAATTAGAAATTGCTCATATTTTACAAGAAAGTATGCGAAAATACTCAAATATTCGAAAAAATTGTACATGACCTTATTTCAAAATCCATCTTTCAAGAAGAGATTTTATGAAAAAAAAAACTCTTTTCTCTAATATTTGGTTTGTAGAAAGTCCTCGAAAAAATTTGATTTTTTCAATTTCCGAAAAATCAGGGTTTTTAACGAACAAGAAATCGACGCCATTCTCTTATAAACGCCCTCCACAGTATTCAACAACAAAATTTAATCAAAATTGACGGAGCCATTGTTTTAAAAAAAAAATATGAAGATGTAACCGAGCTTCATGTAAAGTACCTCAAAAAATTAAAATATCAGTTTCAAATTCAAGGAGCCGCTACATCAGTTACATCGATTGGGATATAACAATATTGGAGAAAATCGGCAGAACGGTTTAGCCGCCAGCATTGTTCACAGACGGACGGACAGACAGACGTTTTGCCGTTAATCGATTTTTCGGTATCAAGGATCCACAAAAAATAGATTCTGGCTATACGCGTGTTAGAGGATCCCCCCCCTAAATTTAGCAATTAGATTTATCCACTTTTTCGTTACCAGGGCCCTGTAAGAAGTTTTTCTGTTGAAAAATCGCCGTCTTTTCGCGCAGCATTACATAACTTGCTCTATACCGCTGTAGCGGTAGTAAGATAGTAAAAAAAAAATTGTATACCATTAATTTTACATTACTACATGCGCTGCCTTGGGAAACAAATGCAGCGATGTATATTCAAGAAATTAATTGTCAATCGACAATATTAGATAATGAAAGGTATTTCTGTTGAATTTCTTCTCTTTTGTTGATTTTTCGGCATTGCCAGACTGGTATGAGGTTTACATAATACATACATACAACATACATATATAACTATATATATATAATAAATATATATAATATAAATATATATAATATATATATATATATAATATCAAAAAGAGAAAAACTGAGTGTGACGTATTATGGGGAGAACCGTATTCTGTAAATGTCTGTAAATGTTTTCGCAAAAATTGTGGTGTCTCTACCGTCCCTAACCCATTTACACGTTGAATTATGAATGCAGTAATAGTAATGCAGTAGCATTAGTAAAGACACTGAGGACATTTTCTTAGAAACATACTGTAGAACACTTAGCGTTGCGTATTCTGACAAGGAGTAATGTGTAATTCGTGTTAAAACGAACATATACACATCATAACACGAACATATTAGTGTTAAAACGAACACATAATATTTTACAATACTATTAAATTAATTAGATCGCTGGAAGCCACCTTCTAATAATTAAATACTGTATATTAAAGATGTTGTCTAGTATCAAAAATATATAATACAAAAAAAAATTTCGATCGCTTAGCGATCATCCTCAGAGCTTGCAACTTCCGGGCCGAAAACTAAGTTCTGCACAACTTTGTTTTCTGCCCGGAAGCTGCAAGCCCTGAGGATTGATCGCTACGCGATCAAAAATATTTATAGCATATTATATTTTTGATAGTAGACATCTTTTATTTACCGTATTTAAATACTATTGTTTTTGTTTTTCGATCTATTCCATTTGTTTGCCAACGTTAACAGTATCGTATTATTTACTAACATTTAATTATTTTACTTTCTTACATACTGCTTACGAAGAATTTGGCTAAAAACTCTTCAGTTATATTTGTAAATACACTGAACACCTTATTCAACGAATACAATACCAGAAAGATATTTTCATTTAAAGGTTTGAATAAAAAAATCAAATGCTTGAAACGAATTTGCGCATTAAATGTTCTACGATTTCGAAAACGTTTTACAAAAAATGACTGAGATGTGTTTATTTTGAGGGAAATTATGGTGTAAATAGTATTACATAACAAATACTAAACGCGAGAAAGTACGTGATGTTTAAGAACCACTAGTTTACTTTCTCGTATATATACAGAGTAATAAACATAGTATAGAGAAAGTTGAGTAATACTGCGGAAAAACTATTTCGGAATTTCAAAGAAAATACGTTTTGGGGTCCGCTGATAACGAAAAAGTATGTTTTTTTTCTTTCTTTTGCAAAACGTCCGTCCGTCTGTGAACAACACTATGAGCAGAGGCGGATCCAGCCGATCATTTTGGGAGTGGCAAAGTCGATTTTTGTGAAATAATGAACATATTTGTTATTATATTGTATATTATTTATGTACTGTTGATATGACTCTATACAATATTATTATGTAAGCAAATACATAATTCGAGCCTAAATGAATATTTAAATTAATTTTTTCAAATAAAGGAAGGTAAACGAAAATTCTAGGCCTTTTGGGTGGAACCATCTTCTCCACCCACCCCCACTTTATATTGTAACGTATTAGCCAGCGTGCCTCATGGCATCTATTTGGGGACGCTTGGGAGAGGATTAGCCTTGCCACAGGAAGAAGGGTTTTTCCGTAAAGGGAAGAACGCGGGAACGGGAGACACAAGGCTTTGGGAGTTTCCGGCTTATAGAAGCTTTTCACTGTTATAAAAAGCGAGGGGGTGGCGTGACGTAGTACGTCACGTGGGCCTCGCCTATATAACAGAGTGTACGGAGCCAGTGGGTGGGTTCTGGAGACAGTGGGAGAACCTCGTGCGTGTGCACAAAACTTGGCGCCACGACGGTGCATATGCGAACCAGGCTCGCGAGGCTCGAGTCACTAGTTGACGAAGCCTGCGGACTTTAGGTCCTTGGGTGACTGCGGTCACGGGGGGGAGCGATGCTGTGTGCGTGCTCCGAGGTGAAGAGTGGTTGAGTGCCACGATTCACGCCGATTCTCAATCGGATAAGATCGCTCCTGCGATCGAGGCAAACCAGCCGTTGGTGCGCCAGAACGGACTTTGTGTCCCAGCGTGACATCCGGTCACGGAGGCTAGGCTTTGTGCGCGCTTCAAAAGTAGGAGTGGCGAATGCCACAATCAAAACCATCTTCAATCGGGTTTGGATCGCTCCCGCGATCAGGGGATAGTAGGTCTATCAGAGCTAGGGTGTAAGTAAATTATTAAGTGTATATATTTGTTTTGTTTTCTTTGTTAATAAATATATTTGTTATATGAAAGCTCTGTGTCTGTGGTCGCTGTGAGTATCCATGACGTCACAATATGAACCCCTGGGACATTTTCAAAAATTTCCAAAAATGGATCCAAATTTGTTCCTCACATTTTTGTAAGAACAGATTACACTTGTAAAGATGGCATAGATCTCAGATCCGGATGGCATAGATCTATTTTCTCAGTTGACTATACATTTTGGAAAATTGCGTTTGAATTTTTTTCGGAGCCTTCTCACAATTACAATATTAAAGGTAGATATTTTTTTGTTGAAATGAAATTTGTTCTGTAGAGTTTTTTCATTTACACTTTTTACAAATGTTAGTAGAATCTGTGCAAAATTTATTGAAACATGTACAACATAAAAAAAAATTAAAAATAAGAATTTCTCAAAAAACATTCCAGGTTTGTTTCAGGTAGGGATAGTACTAAATCTACTAACGTATACGCAAAAAGATAGCAGAGTTCCGATTTTCCCTCTTAACTCAAATTTTTGAAATTACAGAAGTTAGAATTTTGTTCACCGCCTTCCTACACCTACAATACTCGTATTAAAGACAGAGATCTTTTTCTTTAAGTGAAACTTGTTCTCTACATTAGTTCTTTCATTAACATCTTATACATATTTGCGAACATTTTAGTTTTCGAGCAATTGCAGTAAAATATGGACAATATTACAAAAATTTTAAAAAAACAATAATTTCTCTGAAAGGGCTGCAAATTGTTTAACACTTTTTGTAGGATATTTCTAAATATACCGCATAAGCAACTATAAACACCATTTTGCTGCATTCTTTTATGTTTTCAAAAAAAAAAAAAAAAAACACAATTGTAGTATTTTGACATTTTCACGTCGTTAATATTAACAACGGTTTGTAAACATTATTGAATTTGTGAGAACAAATGCTTCCAATGATGTCGGGTGAACTTTCTTGGGAAGTTGACAGTTTTCTGTGAAAATGTGCTCGAAATTCCATATTTTCATAAACCCCCACACACCAGTTTAGATGGCCCAATACATTGAATAAAATGATGTAGACTTAAATGACACTTTGACATATCCTTTGATTTTTCAAAAATTACAGAAATGATTTTTTTTAAAATATCTATCATGACATTGATATTTACATTACCAGCGAGATTTGTATTACATTTTTTGTACAATTGCTCCAAATAATGTCTTGTGGAAGTTTCTCGAAAAAATAAGAGTGAGGTGAAAATGAGCTTCAAAATGATCATTTTTAGAAACGTCAAACATTTTTTCAAAAACTGCTCAAAATGTTTCTACGAAAATTTCCATATATCAGGACGAGGTTTTACTTTTCTTTAATATTCTTAAAAAACATGTTTTAATCCCACCATTAGAGAAACCAAAAAAAAATGAGAAAATGTGAAATATGTAATTTGGCTGTGATAGTAGTAATAAGAGGGGGGGGGGCAAAAAAGGGCTAGTTCAGACCGACGAAACTAGTATCCAGAAAGCCTTAGCACCACTAGTTTCTTTCCCGTACACATACGAAATACCGATAGAATATATATATATATATATATATATATATATATATATATAGTATATAGAATAGTATAGAGAAAGTTATGTATGCTGCGGCAAAAACCTGCGATATTTCGACCTAAAAACTCGTATTGTGATACTCTTGATAAAGGAAAAGTGGATAAATGATGTTCCGATTTGGGATCATATTACCGAATAATGAGTTTCTGTGTGTGCGTATGTCCGTCCATGTGTCTGTACGTACGGGGCCTAGATATTTCGCAGATTTTTTTCTTTTTTCTTTTCTCTCTCTCTCTCTCTCTCTCTCTCTCTCTCTCTCTCTCTCTCTCTCTCTCTCTCTCCTCTCCTCTCCTCTCTCCTCTCCTCTCCTCTCCTCTCCTCTCCTCTCCTCTCCTCTCCAAAATGCGTATTCCTAGGTCGATCTGGCTTGACTCGAAGCTTGAAGATCTTGAAAAACATTCTTTGAATTTTGGGGACATTTTCAACATTTTTCAAAAATTGCTCCAGCTTTTACTTAGCAGTAGAATGAACGTGATGTAATGCTGCGCTAAGAAACGGCCAATTTTTGGCAGACAAACTCTTATTACAGGGCTCAGATAGCGAAAAAGTGGAGAAATCCACTTGCTAAAATTAGAAAAGGAAAGATCCTGTAACAAGTGTTTTAGTCAGAATCCATGTTTTGTGAGTCCTTGATACCGAAAAATCGATTGACGGAAAAACGTCTGTCCGCTAGCGGCTAAACCATTCAGCCGATTTTCTTCAAGATTGATATTCTCTAATCGATTTGGCAGGATAATGTCACGGCCCCTTGAATTTGAAACAGATATTTTAATTTTGTTACTTTTGTTTTTGATACTTGTTTGGGGGGTTTAAATGTTCTTTAATATTCCTAATATAATACTTCCGTTTTACTTTTAAGAAACCAAAAATTTAAGAAAATGTATATATATTAAAAAAAAAGAGTACTTTGTGCGGCGATAGATGGCACCTGGCAAGAGTATGTGGCAAGTCTGAATAGCTAGCCGAGACCAAACGAAATTGTTAACTAATACGGGAAAGTCTGCCATTCTGTAGCACCACTAGTTTCTTAATGAAATGTGTTAATCAAAAACTGACCATCAAATAAAGTGATGTTGAAATTTTTCGAAAATACGTGTATTTTTTGAGTAATTTGGCGTCAAACAGTCGCCTGCTCCGAATATCCTGCGCTTCGTGAACATAATATGAGAAGTGATTCCAAGCAGTTGGATGCTGCGTAAGTTAGAATTTGTATAGTTTCATATTTCTTTGTTCGTTTAGTATATTCGAGCTTTTGTTATATGTTTACAAATTAATCTTTTAGAAATTTTTTAAAACCTACTTGAAATATATGAACTAAAAATTGCTAGCCTTCAAGGAATATCAGATTGGAATGCAACAATGACATTCCGCATCGCGAGTGGCGACTCACGAACCATTTCTGTTACGACTCATTGTTGTGACATGGTTTAGCTGTATGAAATATAGTTATAATTGTACAAATTTGTGTTGATATTTACTTGGAAAATATTTAGTTTTCGCACCTAATGATCTACGATTTGTAATGAGTTTTGCAAAAAATGACGTCTGATTTGTGTCGGAGACTGAATGATGGAGACAATTTAGTATAAATAGTATTACATAACCATTACTAAAGGCGAGAAAGTAGGTGCTGTTTAGCATCAGAAGTTTTCTCTAAATTTCTTGTAAGAATAAAGCTAAATAATCTTATCAAGATGGCAAAGGTTCGATATCCATTGTTAACTCTGAAAATTTGATTTTATTCGGCCTACATCTGAAGGTACAAGTTTTTATTTAAACCACATTTGTTTTCCACAATTAGTTCTTTCATTAACATCATGAACGTTTTTTAAAATTAGTTTATCAAAAACTGAGTTTTTTGTGCAAATGAGCACAGAATTCCACTTTTTCAGAAACGCACAAACGCCACTTTCTCGAAAACGGTTCAAAATTTTTTCAATGCTAAATGAACTAAATAACATGACTTGAATGACACTTTCATGCAGTTTTTTCTTTTCAAATGTGAAGAAATTGTACAATGGCTGCCAATAGATTGCAGCCGAGTGAGGCAAAACTCAAAAACTATCCCAAACCAACTAAATTAGACAATTAACTAGTATTAGAAAGTCTGGGCCATTCTGTAGCACCACTAGTTTATTTAATCTGAAGAGATCATAGTTTCTGTGTTGGGCTAAATCTCCTTACCTAAGCAAAATTTAAGACTTTCAAGAAAACAGGCACATGCATTTATTCAATGCAAATTGATTTATTTTCATCAAAGAATAATCAAATACTATATGGGGAGAAATATAATAAGTGCATGTTTTATTGAGCTCCCGTATCTCGTTCCCACACTTTTTTATATGTAATTGTATCATGAAAAACTGTACCACCAGAGAGGTTAGCAAGACCAAATTCCCAAGATTAAGAAGACATATGTGTGGGTAAACAAATAAGATTTGATTTTTTAATACTGCTAATAAAATAGCAACCCAACCTGTAGTCCTGCCACAATTAATAGAACTCAATAAAACATGCATTTTATAAAGGTACATTTATATCTAGGAGCAAAACAAGGAGCCATCTCAGCATTTGCTCAACAGGTCAGGGAAACTGGATGAAAATCCTGACTGAGATGGGGGTCATTGTAATGTGTTACATAATGAGTAGGATAACAAAAAAATTGTCTTGTATGTTGGAATGGTATTTTATTTCCTCTATATATTGGTGTTCACTGTTTACATGCTGAAACTTTACATATATTAACATTGCATTATTTATATACAACAAATATAAGTTAGTATAGTACATTTACTTATGAACAATGGCATCAATCATTATTGACTATTCACAATGCCCAGCACTGTGCCTATACTGGCTTCAGTCAGTAAGTTCAAATATCATAATTCTGATTTCTGAAAGTCTGAAATTTACAATTTGCTCATAACACAAATATTATAAATTGATATCTGAAACTCCTGTACCTAAATCCAAGTTCATACATCAGATTCTTTTAATGAAATTCACAAAAGAAAAAGACAGATAAGAGAGAAAGCAAAATAGGCTCCTAATTAGTGTTATTTGTAATTTTAATAACAAAGTGGCAAGTAACCCTCAAGAAACATTTTTTTCATTAATTGTATTACAATTAATAACAAAGAAAAAAATAACATATATTGTATATCCTTTTTCTTTTACCTTTCCTTAAACACTTCAGTTTCTGATTGCATAAACATAGAAATGCAATAAGGATAATTCAAACTGTTCCATGAAAAGACGCAAGGCACTTGTTAATCCCCATTAACTTACATGTTTTCCTTTCAGGGCATCATCAATGTGCAAAAGACACATTGTCACAATCCAGACTAGTATAATACAATATATGCAAATAATGAGTAGACATGATGAACATTTTTTTTCTTAATTGACAATTCAGTTTTATCCATTCCTTTCACAGAAAATTATGTTTGCTGTAAAATATTTTGTATACATTTTTATTTGAAAACAAGAGTGTGTTCCTCTGTCATAAAGATGGAAAGCCATGCTGGTTTTCAAGATTTTACTGCTTTGAGCAATAAACCATCATTTACACGCAGAGTTTATTTAAAAAATATAAAGTAAATTTATAATCAGTACATACAACACATTAATATGCATATATCATGTTACAAAAATATTTACTTGCTCTTGATACCAAATTCTAAAGAGAACAGAAGCAAATATAAAACAATAATTGTCCATTCTTAGGACTTGATTTTAATCTGACGTGGTACCACATCTGAAGAGTATTCAAATACAATTGCATTTCTTCCTTCCCCCTTATTACTTATACACTCATCACACACACTATTCTCTTTACAGGTAACTAAAATTGATTACATTAAGGAGCACCCACAATAACACCAACTTGCAAATGTAGCAATAACAATGGATCAACAAGGAAGTTGAATTCAAACAATAAAAACCTGATTCACAACAGTTTTGTGCGGAATAAATAAAATGTGTTCTGTTGCACAACACACAGAAATGACCTCAAAACAGTGTCAATTGCAGGACAGACAGTGATTTCATGACAACAAATTAACTAATAACAACAACTAAGATCAAGTCAAAAAAGAAAAATCTATGTAACAACTATCAATTCACAGTATACATAAAATTTAGGAACTTAAAATATATTTTAAGGGGCTTTCAGAATAACATTCTCTTATTTTCAATGCCCATCAAATATAAAGCTGTCACACATGCAAGCATTTGAAAAATACATCTCAAGCAAGAGCTGATGCTGGCAAAGAGCTATGTTTTGGTTTCATTTTATTCAGAAATACTTTAATGCTACCATTAAAGTCTGCACTTACTAATACATAACCCCCACACCCTTTTGTTCTCTGCTCCACCATTGGATCTTCATCAATTTTGGTACCTGGCACATTCACTCCCACTTCCTGCTCTTCTATCTGATGAATTATTATGTCTGGATTAGGAGCAAAAACAGCACAGGTTACAACTGCATTATGAGCTTTAATTCCTTCCCAAAAATCATTTCTATCTCTTCTAACAGAAGAAAATTTCGAATAATCATGGTGAGTTTTCCAAATATATATACACTGATTTTCTGAGCCACTAACAATGTACTTGCCATCATGACTAAAACTTGCTTTAATCTGGCTACTGACATTAACATATCCCTTGTATTTACAGGACAAATTGAGGTCACGCAAGTCATACAGACGTATACGGCTATCATTTGAGGTAACAAGAATTTTGTCTTCCCCTGGCATTGGCTCAATACCACTGATTTTCCTACCCGTCGAATTCTTGCCTCGGGTTGAACGCACATGAATCTGTGTATGATATTTTAACTGATCTGTGTTGTAAAAAATGCAACGACCATCATATGATCCCACAACAGCAAATTTACCGTTTTGACAGAAATTAGCGGCTGTTATTAACTTTGTCTGACCATCTACTTCATTCCAAACCGCTACTTTTTTATCAGGAATATTCCAAAGGCGTAACTTACCATCTAGAGAACCACTTAAAAAGTAACGATCATCTCGTGGGTGAAATACTATTGCTGTAACAAAATCTATATGCTGAAAGCAACAAAGACACTCCTTCCTTGATATGTGCCATAACCGGACAGTTTTGTCCATTGATGATGATAAAACAAAATAATTTTTGGACCAAGATACATCTAAAAGATCAGAAGTGTGTCCAGTGTAAGTGCAAAATGGTTTGGGCATAAATGGATGTCTGTGACCTTCTTCATTTTTAATGTCAATATATGCAGCATTTGGATCTTCTGATGAATGCTGTGACACTAGTGATTCTTGAGAAGGCGTGGGGGAGACTTTTTCAGCATTATATTTAGTTCTCATATCTTGGAAATATGTATATGCATTCCTTACCACCCAAATACGCAATACACGGTCCTGCCCAGCAGTTGCAAGCAGTCTGCCACATGAGGAAAACTTCATGCACCACACTGGCCCCGTGTGTTCACCACTCAAATCCTGAACATGCTGCAGACTGTCAAACTCATATGGCCCCTTGTGACTTCCAGACACTTTTAATTTAATGTACTGCTCACCTGGAGTCACATCATCACCAATATCATCCACATCATCTTTATGGCGTGCATGAGTGACTTCCTGTGCAATGAATTTTGCTTTATCCATAGTTTTCTTTACTTTAGAACCAAAAAATTTCTTTAATTGTGCTGTACGTCTTTTCACTTTACTTATATCGGTATCTTCTTCAGGGGGAACAGATGATTTCTTGCTATCAACACTTTCTTCATCAGATTCCTTTTCTTTTTCCAAACTGGAATTGCTAACATATTCAGAAGTAAGACGCATTATATGAAGAGACAGTGGATTGATACACTGAGGTAATTTATCTTCTGCAATACTAAGAGGAACTCTTTCACCTGTGTCAAGATTTAGTACTGTTACTTGTTCCAGAATTTCCTTAAACAAATATGAAAATAGAGTTAATAATGGAAAAAACATAACATTATTAGTAATTTGTAACTAACTAAAAACCAACCAGATCAGAAAGCTGTTTTCCTGAATCAGTTCTTGTTCGAACAAGCATGTTCAATTGTGACATCATGCCCTGTTCATCTCCTGCTGAGCGCCTCCGCTCCTTTGACCCTCGGGGACTAATTCCCAGTTTGTGGGCAGCAGTGATATTACGACCGATGCTGTTACTACTCATTGAGCTCATAGGGCTTCCAGTTACACTTGGCTTCCTTGGCTCAGAACTCAACAATTCAGCCTTTAGCTTTTCAAGTCTTACTAGTTCTTCTTCTGAGGGACCCTCAGCTTTGGCTCTATCTTCATCCTGCAATACACAACAATACAATGGGGAAAAAACACATAAATATTTAATTTTATTTTCCCTGTTTTTAAATAAACCCCAGAGCATTTAAGTTTGGAATATACTTACTTAAGAAGGTCACAAGTTTAAAACTTGCATTCCAGAACAATTTTCAAAGCAATATAATGTAACAACCAAGATCGTAAACAAACTAGGAAATTTTAAATACTTGGGCATGTAGCACAAGAGTTCATGTTCAGTAAATAATCATAAAACCAGTTACAATGAGTGAAAAAATGAAAATTAGAAACTTTAATTACCTTTGTTTTACTATCTCTCCCTGTACAATGCATGCACTTTAAAAATAATTCACATTAAAACATTTAAAAAAATTGGAAAAAAAGCCAAATTTTGCATTAACAGAAATACAAAAGCTTACCTACGTCAATTACAAATTGTACATATATGAAAAACAAACAACACTAATAAGTTATAGCAAATTATCTTCAAATATATATCATATCACTTTCAAATATTAATTGAGGAGATTAATAATTGCAAATTTAGGCACACCACACAAATAAGCAGAGCACATAAATTAAAAGAATATTAAGAAGCATAGGGAAGGGCACAAATAATGAATTAATTTTTTCATATTGCCTGAACATCAACTGATATTCAGGCAAAAAAATAACATAAGTAAAATTCAACCCATTTATGTCTCTTTATTAATTAAGAACCAACTGAAAATCCATTATTAGATATTACCCTGTTTACATTCCTTTCCACAATTCTTTTCATTTGTCACTGATTCACCACTGATTCTCAGTAACAATCAAATCCCATAATCTGTTCACATATAGTTAATACAATTGCCTGTCCGCAAAAATGAAATGAGAGCAATTGAGTTAATATAATGTTAATGCAGGATTCATGAAAATGGCTGAGTTAAAGAATGGATGCAGAATTCACAGTACAAGTAATAATGAAATCTAGGCGCTCTATAAGTTAACGAAAAATGTTACTTCCCAGCAGAAATATTTCAGAGGTATGGTAAAGTGGGTCCATACAAAATTACAGAAGTAAATGCATGCCAAAGGACTTTTAAACATCCCAAGCACAAACACCAAATATCACATTATTAATCCATCATTAATTTTTGTAAGTTATGATGTTTTCACATTGCTGCAAATTAACGTTATGAATATTATTTCATATCATATATACATTTAATATGAAATAAAACTGAACTTAATCCATTGAAACATGCTCACTACACATTTAACACACCTCTGAACTATTGTTGAAATTAAAATGATCCGCCATAAATGGGTTGCAGAATAGCTACTTTTAGATGTCACTGAATGCCCACAAAATCACATCACTATTTAACGATCACCTTCAAAGTCACTCTCTTACCAGCCGGGCATCAAGTGCATTGCAAACGTACCCTCACTATCACCAATATTTGAATGCAAGGGAAGAACATATAAAATCTTATCTGCATTCCAGCACATTGTTTTATATCTGTTACAAAGATGAAACTTAAAGTATAGTGATAAAATCTTGAGGAGAGAACTGGCAATAAGGGACTCACCTGAGGTTTCACAACATACTGTCCCTTTGTTGCCGACCTGATGTCTAATGAATGTTCAAACTCTCGTGTCAAAGATTCAATTGTGCTGGCCGGGCTTGGCAGAGGTGATGATTTAGAGTAAGTCTCTTCCGCACAAGCAGGCTATTAATAAAAATATATAGAACTGTTTTTCAACAAGGCAGCAACTTTATATTGATACAATCAAGGAAATTGAGCATCATAACATGTCTCTTATTGGAATGAGGGTTGAAGGATTTATAAAGAACTGTTAAATTGGAAAGTAAATAAGATTAAATAGCGTGCAACAAAATAAATTAATAAATTATAGGGAAAAAATAGCACATGCAAAAGTTACAATTGAAAGAAATATCTTTTGTATAAAAAATGTGAATAAAAATCCACTTATTCTGTGTTGCAGCAAAGTGAATAAAAATACACTCTTTGATTCCTACCACAATGACATGCACTTGGAAGCACATCAACCATCACTTATTAATGAGCAGTCAGCACTGAATAACATTCATTGATAATTGGGTGATAACTGAAGGTAGTTTAAGAACAATTATACACTACACTGTGATTTGCTCATAGGCCACCAGTACTAAGATATCAACTTTACTGCATCTCTCAGAATAAATTGCTTCTTACAGGTATTTCAAAAGTAACATAAAATACATTTTATTTGTATTAATTATATTTACAAAGAGTCCAATCCAATATTAATTTCTAAAGAAATGTTTTGACTTTTTGAAAACCAAAAAAATTTAAAATACAGAAAGTTTTACATTCTGAAAGTGAGAAATATAATAACTCACAGACAAAGTGCAAGGGGTCTGTATCTTGCACTTCTTTTTTCTTCTGGGTGGAGCAACAGGTGCACTCATTTCTGACGATCCATTATTATTAGGAATGTTATTAACACTTTTTGTGCTTGCAATAACATCAGGTTCTTGAAGTGGTACACAAACTTGTGATTGTGATGAATAATCAACAGGCAACAAAATTGTACTAACTGTGCCACTACTAGTAAGAGATGGTTGAACAGATGTGACTGTGGTATTACTACTAAGCATGTGAGAAGTTTGTGATTGAAGTGATGAAGTATCTGATACAGAATCATCATCTTTACTGACTATGGGGCCAGATAAAGTACTTGAAATTTGTGAAGAACTATCTCGAGATACGCTGCCTGATACTGAAACAAAAGGAAGTTTGACTGAAAGTTGTCATTTTATAATCTTTAAAAACATGTTATGAAATTCGGAGATCATTCAGATGTTAAAACACAAGAAAATATATTTCCAATGCTCATACAATTTTCTTTGCACTGGAGGAGTCAAAAATGTCTTAAATTACATTTAGATTTCATTACTACAATTATTGGGAGTTTTCAACAAGATTATCTATATAACTATAAATGTTTTCCAGAACTTGACCTCTGGAACCTATTAATGAACTCGATATTTTGGTACACTCTCTTGATAACACAAGATTACAATAACAAAATTGTATCTTGTGGCAAATTCAATTTGAAAAAATTGATTGAATTGATATTCTCACATTTTGATTTTGAAGATTAGGTTTGTGAAAATACTCAACTATAAAGGATCACTAAACTTTCATAATACCAAATAAATGCAAATGTTTCAAATTTTGCTTAGATACCTAGATTTTAAGTTCTATCATTGCAAACCTGTTTTTCAATTATCATTCAGTTTAAGGCAACTAATAAAGCAAAATACAACAAACCTGAAGGATCAACAATGCCACCCAAGATTCGCCCAACCCTTCCCAGGGATGTCATACTCTGAAGACTCAATGCATCATGCTCTATAATACGAAATGGGTGTGAAGTTTTGGCTGGAGCAGCAAATATACCCTCCACTGATGAAGTTTGACTGTCAGGTGGTGATGTATTATTTGGCCCAATGTCTTCATCCTCAGTCTGCATTCGTTGTCGAAGTTCTCTAAACTTATGGCGACCCCTATGAGCTTCTGTAACTCTCTTTTCAATTTCCTGGAAAGAATGTTAACACTGGGTTAAATATTTTAAAAAGTCAACTCTACAAACTAATTTTGGGAGTGAATAAAATTTGCATCACATACATCTCTGTCTGTTTGAAAAATCACGGTTTCTTGACATACAGTGGAATTTTCGTCTTTCTTCTCTTCTTGATCTTCTGTTTTCTGTGCATTATTTCCTGAATCATTGTCGTTAATGACATGAGAACTGATGCCTGTTTTGCTCTTTCTAAGAATCCAAATGCAAAAAATACGAAGTTATTAACACATACGTTAAAATAAAATTTAATATACACACCATAACGCAATACAGATGTTTTTCAATGAAGTTATTTCACCTGTCACCGCAAAGCTAGACTCATACTATTGCTATTACGTATTGTCAGCGAACTTTTAATAAACAAACCTTAACTGACAAATTACAACAAGATTGAACACGATACCTAGACGAACGATTTGGTGTCAGATCTTCTGCATCAAAAAATTCATCGGAGTCGCTGCTATTTGACATGTTATTTCAATAACTTGTATTAACTTCTACATATGTTAAAGATTACAAACTTGCTCATTAATACGAGACAACCATCAGCCATGTCTACCATGAAGAACTGAATGCTAACCAATCAGCGCGTATCGTTGTATGATATTTGTACTCCATTGGTTAGTTTCTCTATAACCTCGAACCCAGGGTGTTTGTGGTACAAAAGTAAGATGGAGGCTCTCGCAGTCGAAGTATGCGGCGAGAATGGGGCCTATTACAAGGTTTGTATTAATTAAAGTATGACTGATTTATTATATTAATTGTTAAAAGTTTAACCATATATCACCAGAGTGTAATTTTGCATTGGAGGATTGGACATCAAACCATTACTTAAAGAGAATCTTGGTTTCGAATGTTTCACGGAACGCGGTTGGGACGCCATGTCCCATTTGACAGGGCGTGATTTTCCCCATGTGCCTAGTACTTTTTAAAATTTTCCTTTTGGTTATTACTACATTACCGATATTTTAACTGAAATGAGTTGTGCACAATATTTGGTGATCATTGATACTTTTCTTATGGAATTTCGAACTGTCGTTTTACGAAGGTTTTGCTAACCTAGCAGTAGCGCAAATTGATCTTTCTTCAATTGCCGGTATGATTAACGGACTGGAAATTAGATTGTAATGGTTGAGAAATAGTCCATGTTTTTTGGAGTCGTATTTTAAAGATCATAACACAAAATAAAGCGAAGCATCGTATAAGAATATTGTAATTGGACAATGTTATGCTAGTCAGCCATACTTCACTTTGATTACCAAATTTTGTTTTTGTATTTCTTGATTGCACATTATTGCCCTAATTATGAATCTCTCTTTTGTTTTAGGCCTTTGTTACAGATGTATTTGAAGAAGAAGTATCTGTAGCATTTGAAAATGAGTAAGTTTAAATCAAATAAAGTATTTTATTTGAGTTATAGTTTAATCAGACTTGAATTCAAGTAATATGTGCATGAGAAATGTTAATTTGACAATGTGATCACAGTTACATAAAATAAATATTTATTTGTAGTTGGCAGCCAGAATCTAAATTCCCATTCTCCCAAGTTCGCCTTCCTCCTGATGCTTCTTTGGGGAAGACTGACTTCACGGAACACCAAGAGATCGAGGTGTTTTCTCGGGCCAATGATCAGGAAGCATGTGGGTGGTGGAAAGCTATCATTAAGGTATCCTTTAAAGTTCATTAAATTAGTTCTACTGATGTTCATACACAAGTTTTATTTTGTTCAAAAACAAGAAAACTAAAACATAATGGAGGTATAGCCTTTGTGAGAAAATGAGGTAATTGAATCATGTAGGTGTCGGGAAGAGTTGGAGATATTATAATTATTTATATATGCTTAAACAAGAGTTCATTAATTGATCAAGTTAGAAGTGTATTAAATACTTTTATGTGTACTGTTTGTTGAATTCATTTATGCTTGGAGAGTGGAAAAGTTTTATAAAGATTATTGTATACTGGATACTGTTGATGTTGCAGATGATAAAAGGTGATTTCCATGTGGTGGAATATTTAGGTTGGGAGAATACGTACACGGAAATAGTACCTAGTGATAGGTTGCGGCCAAAAAATCCAAATCCTCCCATTAACAAAAGTACATTCTTCAAATTTGAGATTGAAGTACCTGAAGAACTGCGGGAATAGTAAGTATTCAAAGCCTGTATGTGTGATGGTTCTTATAGTAATAAAATTGAATATGAAAAAGTAGGAGTTAATTTTTTGTAATGCTTCTACTGATGAACTTTTAATTTCTTTGAATGTATTTCTTAATTTTTTCTGCACTTCAGTTATTGTGGTGTTTCTTAATTTATTTAATCGTTTTTCATTTTCCCTTTAGTGCTAAAGTAGAAACAGCTCATAAGGAATTTCAAAAAGCAATTGAGGCAGCAATATGCCGATATGTGCCAGAACGAGGTGTCCTTAGTTGTATTTCTAGATGTGAAACATCTAAGAAACGTTCTGCTATGCTTCAAGAAATGCATTTTAGAAATTTAACCCAAAAAGTTTTGTTGTTAAAACGCACTGAAGAAGCAGCGAGACAGCTTGAGTCTACTAAGCTTCAAACTTCTGGAGGGTAAGTAGGTTGTTGATATAATTATATGGTTTTGGTTGGATTTGAATCAATAATACATAAGAATAACATGTGGGTATCAGGCATAAATATTTTGTTAGTGGGAGTATAATTAAAGGACTTCTGAAATATGTTTTGTACTTAGCTCCTTAGGATGTATCTTTATGTAGACTTAGTGACTAAGAATAGAACAACTAGAATATATGCAAATAATTTGAGCTACAATTGTGTAAAATTACTATATTAGTAAGTGGAGTGTTTGGGTGAGAGTAGGAAATATATTTTATTATTGTAGAGATGATATTTTGGATTCCTATAATTACTCCCATTTTCTAGTGCCTAACATTCAATACCCACGTACACTAGCCTCCACTTCTGTGGCTGTTGTAGTTTACATCATTGGCATTCCTAAAAACTGCCAAAGCTGAATGTTTCATTTGCTGGTTGGTGCTCACTTGTTTATTTGGAACTTGTGTGAAAATTGGACTGCACATGTGGGCTTTGTAAATTTGTATTTGAGAAATTACTGAATGGGTTGTCATTCTTATTTATTAAATATAAGAGGAGGAAGTATTAACAGATTCTGAGGTTAATTTTTTACTACAAATTGCTGTCAGGGTATGTGGGTGTGTGTGTGTGTGTGGTAGGTTATGATGCTAACAAAATTGTTTAAAACTGTATCATTGCATGATGATGATAATGACTTGAGAGTTTCTAATTTTCAAACAAGTACAATATTTAGTAAATCTACTTGCATAGGTTACAAAAAGTAAGTATGCTCTCTGTATAAAAGCAGGCAAGTTATTTCTTTTTATCTTTTAAGCTTTTGTGATTTTTCTGAGCAGAGTGGACATGTATCTGGAAATGCTAAGCATGTTAACTTGTTGCAACAGCATGAAGCACATTTGCTTCTATGAGAAAGCATTTTGTTTCACAAAACATGAATATAATATTTTGCTTGTTTGAGTGTAGTATTGTTGCCCATGCATTTGCTCTTTCCACCTTATAGTGGAGACTTTAAACTAGAGAGTTCAGGAAGTGGAGAACTTAATGTAAGTTCTGAAAGAATTTGCCAGCCACTAAATTTCTGGAGTCATTTGAACACAACAACCATAAGTTAAATTTATGACTTGTGGGTATGATCATCAGTTCCCAAAGAAATGAGTATCTAGTTCGCCCATATCACATTAAAGTAATTTTGAACAATTCTTGTTGGTTTCTTTGGCTCTTCACATACTTAAAAAAAAAAATTCGGAAATGATGGAATTGAAATGAAGTATTGAAGAAATAAGGCAAATGTCTTAATTTCTGCCAATTCCCATTTCATTCTTGCTTCTTCCACACGGACTATTTTCAATATTTGGAGATATTACAATCTGAGAGTAAATTTGGAGTATCCTTAAAGTTACAAAAATATTATTTTCTATGTCTGTATTAAGCATAGTTCTGTTATTCTTTGTTATTTTCCATTTTTGCAATAAAAATCTTGTATATGTTTTAATGTGTCCATTATATGTAATGGATATTTCTTGGAAAAATGATTTATAAATAAATTTAAATTAATCAAATAAATGACATCTCAGTAAGATGCTTTTTATATTAAGTTTCATACAATGTGGGGTGTCTCCTCCACACCAGAAGAGTTTGTTGGCACTGTGTTTTAGTAAGGCATTTCTGTTTCATCATTTAGGGATTTCTGTTATTACAATCGTCCCTAATTTATTGGTGCGTCTTTAAGTGCTAATGGATGTTTAGAAAACAACTAGAAACTGTTGTCTTGCATAATTGCTTCATGAAAACTCCAGCGTTCTTTCAGACAGGCCAGTGCATAAGCGACGTTGCAATCTTATTTTAGTAATCTGATTGTGTGAAAACCAGTTGAACTGTTCAAGCAACAGTGAATGTTGAACTAGTTCATCAAAAAAGGATGTAGCCATTGTGTTCCTGCAGAAAGTACAGAAAATCTTCAAAATATGACTTAATCGTTCCTCCAAAATTCATAATATATTAACACAAACTTGTTGAAAATAATGGTAGTACATCACAAAGGGGGTTGCTAAATAACCACTCATTTGTTTTACAGGGATCAAAATGACCTTAGTATGTGATTTAATTACTTAAATTTAAGAAAATGGTGTTTACCTCATTTATTGAATTAATCTGAAATTCGATATATATTATAGAATGAAACACGGTCAGCTACTTCACGAATTTAGTAGAACTCAGTAATTCTTTCAAATTTAAATCATTAGACCTGAAATTGCCTTTTGCAATTTGCATAAAATGTGTTAATGCAACAGACTTGTAGTTTAACACAACAGAGCTAGTGTTGAAGTGCTAGGATCTGTTGCTGGAAGTGAATTTCTTTCTTAGAAATAAAAGATCGTTTAACTTGAAAGAAAAGTATAAAAATCATAGTATACAATAATTTTTGTACTTTATCTCAAACTATTGAGAAAAGTTTTTCCTTACAATCTACTTGGTAATTCTGAACATTGCTGCAAAATGAAGTAACGATAAAATTTAATACAAATGACAAGTGTTCAGAATATTTTATGTTGCATTCTCTTCATGTTCTGTGGTATGGTTCTTTTCTATATATGTCAGGCATGTTGGCTTCCCATCCCAAGTTTCACATATATTATATTCAGTTTTTTTCTTTTAAACGTTTTTTTTTTTTTATCCAGTCTCCTATGGATACTCTTTGACAATGACGTTTTAATAGAAATGTGGGTTTATGGTGATCATTTTTGTTGAAAACATGACATGTATATGTGTTATTGTTTTTGCCAACAATGTCCTGTAAAGTTTTGTTTGTCAATAATTCTTTGTTGAGATGTGATGCATTATATTTCTGTTGAACATACCTAATAAATAAATTTAAAAGTAATTTAATTTGTCCAGGTTATGTGAATGGTCATAAAATCCAGTTCTCCATATTTTGTTATAAATCTTCACCTTCTTAAGAGAACATTATCTGAATTTGATAGATTTTCTTATTACCTAAATGAACATTCAGTAAATACAAATGTTCTAAAGTGAGATTTTACATAAAATATTGTAAGGTGTTTTTTAAGCTAGCTCTATACCTGAAAATAATGAAAAAACATTTCATTATCAGTTGTTAAACTCTGATTTATTATCTTTTATATAATTCATGCCACTTTTTTCTATTGGCTTTCATTTTTTAAGTATTTTAGTTTTTCTTTACTCTTGCATGCGGCCATGACCCTTTGTGGTAAAGGTTTAAATGACCATTTCCACAAATGATACTTTCTATAACATTGTTGCAGTTAAAATGTTATCTCTTCAAAAGTATTAGAGATAATTAAACGATCCTTTTTGTAAATTGTTGATTGTTTTCTCTAGATTATTAACCTAAATTGTTGGTGTACCACTTCAACTTTTGTCTATAGAGATCAAAGATTGCTTCAGAAATTTTCTTAAAACTATAATCAATAAATAACTTGTCTCTAAAATAAGGTAATTCAAATATTTCACTGCTTTAGGTGTATTCTCTAGAATATAATGTTCTAATTATGTTTGCAAAAAATAATGTTTAATTATTTCAAATATTTTGAGGTACTGCATTTCCTGTTCAACATTGCAGAATGTCATAAGTCCCAAATATTATTATCATAATATTTTCCAATTTTGTTTTATTTGTACATCAAACTGTCAGAAAAAGAATAATAATTCAATTGAAAATATATCATAGAATTTCTTATTCAGATATAGCGCTAAGGGTGCAATTGTCCAAGGTAGTTTAAAGAATTGTACAATTCATTCATTATCATGTGTTGAGAATTGCATTTTCAACTTTTGATGTGCAACATTTTAATGTGCTGTAAATATAAAAATTATAAAAGTTAAGTTTATAATAAAATATAAAAAATATAAAAAATTAATTATATTATTAAAACCGATTGTAATGACATGCACAGACAGGATATAGCTCTTTTATGTACATGATACATTTCAAATTATTTTATAATGTGGATTTTCAACTTGTGTTACAGAGACCTAATTCACGAGGGATCAATCAAATATTGTAATGAGTGGATTTAGTATTTAGTGATTGAAAGTAATCATGATACAATAATTGGATGATTCACTATTCTTGTACAGAGTATGCAAAGCGCTTGTGCAATGATGCGACACTGAGTCCCAGTGTTTGCCTTGTATGTCATAAATACCAAACTAGAAACATTCAAATTAATATGCATAACTGAATGGCGCTATTGTATTTGTAGTCTAATCAAGTTATTATGAGATGTATTTTGTAGTATATTTTAGAGTAATAGATATTCATCCAATTTTTAGTGAATTTATTATAAAATCGTTTATCAAAAGAAATTAATTCTAGAATTAATTTCAACTTTAAGTAGTTGCAGGTTTATGATAAATCAAGTATCATCTAAGATTAACATGGTTTACGTTCTTTATATAAAAAAACATTGTTTAATAGGTAAATCTGTTTTCTTCCCAGCTTAATAGTAGGAGGTTCTCTTTTCAATTTCATTGAAGGATTATCTGTGAGGGTATGAACATGAAATTAGATTGGAGGTATAAGGGTGCATGTTGACAATTCATAGCCACTGTTGACAATTTTTTGCTAAATTCAGTGTTTATATTGCATTAAAATGTTAGTGTTTTCCAGTATGTGATGTATAAATACAAAATTGCTTTTAATCTTCTTCATACCACTCCACTACATAAGAAATATTATAAATGGATGGAATCAAACACAAACATTCAGAAATGCCAATTTTTGGCCTTCGTAATATACATTCTTATTCAATGATAAATAAGCAGATCTAGATGACTAAATGAGAAATGGTATTTGGCCAAATTTAAATTCAGTACCTGTATGAACATTTTTTAATTTTCTCTGAGAAATTGAAGGTTTCATATTATTTTTATTTGGTTTTCTTGACATTCAGTGAAACACACACAAAAATCTTGAAATAATTAAAAATAGTTTAATTATTCCTTTTTACTTTTGTTTAGTGAAACTAATTTAGATTTTCTCTGATGTAGCTTATTGGAATAGTATCCTGGTGTTTTAAGACAAAATTAAATTGTAATTATTTACTCATAAAAGATGTTTAATACTCTGCGTTTCATGAAACTTGTATTTTCACATTACAGATGTTAATGATGAAATTTTATAAAAGATAAAATGACAAAATAATTGAAGTGGTTTGCCTGTAATTTCATTCTTGTATATTTCCTTAATAATGAATTGATAACCTTCATTCAGCTTTTATTCAGTGATTATGTAAATAATTATGTAAAAAATTTCCCCTATTTTAATAAGATTTTATCCTTTATAAAATGTTGACAATTGAACCAGAATATGTGAAGAGCAATAGACATTTTTAGATGTGAATAAATATGATTATATCTCAGATGACTTTTGGTTGTCTTATATAGGAATAGAAACCTTATTTTTTAAGATATTGAAATTTATTTTTATAAATTTCTTTAATTGCAAATGTGTAGTACATTTTTTAATTTTAAAATAAGACCAACATTTCAATATCACTAGTAACCTGAAGGCCTTTTCTTGTGTGTGAGGGGGAGTGTGTGTGTGTGTGTGTGTGTGAGGGGGAGTGTGTGTGTGTGTGTGTGTGTGTGTGTGTGTGAGGGGGAGTGTGTTACATCTTTGCATGTAAACTTCGTGAGAAGATAATGCAATACTGCAAGTCCATTATTCTTGGTGTACATAAATTTTTGCATCTATTATCAATTTTGATACTTCAGATGTTTTTAGCCACAACTGGTTATACAATTGGACCTGGGCATTAATTGAACAATAAATATGAGAAAGAAAACCTTTCTTGACCATATAAACTCTAAATTTATTTTATGAATTTCAGTGTGGTATTAGTGTTTCAGTGTGGTTCATCTGTGAGGTATTATTTTTATTTGTAAAGGCAGTAAATAAAATTTAATAAGTTTCCCATATTTTTGAAAATTCTGAAATGGTATTAATTATGTGAAATACTTTCTTAACATTCAAGAAGATCCTATTAATGTTGAAGGTGTTAGTTGAATGATTTAATTCTTTTTTGCAAAATATATACTTTTATAAAATGGTGAATAATGTAGATATTCAGACCCTGAAATCAATACTAAATATTTGCAGGAAAACTAGTTTTTAGGGAATCATGAAGGATGTTTGCAGAAGTGGAGAAATAAGGAAGAGAGTTTTTCAAAGAAAATATAGTATTTACAATGCAGAAGGGTTTATACTTAATTCATAGAACGTCAACAGATCTTGGTAGTTGTTTAATAATTTTCCTATTCGAGATCAAAAAAGGGTATGCGGCATTGAAAAAAATGAATAAAGTAAGATTCAAATACTCCTTGGGTGTTGGTGCAATCAGTAGAGGGGTTACAGAAAGCATTGATCTTTAAGTAAGATAATATATAGAGGATGCATGATGTGAAATTTCTTGATGTAAACTGCAGCATCCTACAACAAATATTTGATTTCTCATGTATATTATCTTAACTAGGCTGTAATCATCTATTACCTTTCTTATACTAATAACTATATAGGATTATATCATTATAATTCTTTCAAAAAATGTTGAACAACTGGCAACTGATTAATTTCACTGCTTCATGCTAGGGATACTTTTTGAATGTTAAAGTCTTGCCAGGAAATAAGTAGTTTCAAGAATAATAATGTGAATACGTTTTTGTTTTTTTTTAGGTACATTTGAATTCTTTTATCCAATTAGCAGTATTAGTATTTCTGACTCATTATTCTCTATTACAAAGTAAATGATATTGTATAAAATGTAACATGTAGTCAGACTTAGTTTCATTTTCACATTTAAAGATATATCGATTATAGTTGATTTGTCAACTGCATTTTCATGATGGCCTGCATATTTATTTCCGCAATCGTAGATTCTCATCACTTGAATGTACACTTTATTCCTTTTCTTGCGTACATTTATATTTTCTCGCTGAAGATGCTTACGCTTCATCACGGGTTTCTTTTTATTTCAGCAGATTTAGGCCTTCAAACTTTAATTATCAGCGTGTCTCAAACTATGAGGCAGGGGTGAGAGCAAATGCAAGGTGAGGTGCGGCATTTCTTGGCAACTTGGCCTTCTTACTGTTATTGCTGTTCATTATAATACTGCATGCTCTATAAGGAAAAGTAAGAAACTCGTTTGTAGCATTTATTATTACGTTTTTTACTCTGGTAAGATGAGTACAGTGTTTTGTAGTTTGCGGTAGATTGTACACGTCGAATATAATAAAAGCACATGATCTTGGCTAATATGTGCATAGCCTGCCAAAGAGTTTGAGAAACACTGATATATTGATAGATTAATTTTGCAAAGCTTTTTGATATTTGTTAAATTTCTTACGTAAATAGTTGTCACTTCTGCAGCGTTGGAGTTGGGCTGCACGATTTGAAAGAATTCATAGACAAAAAAGTCACGTATGCTCTCATATTAAAAGTAACTGCAGGGTCTATAAAGAGAATATCCTTGAGATTTTTCTCATTAGTGATATTTCATATTGTTGCAGTGTCTTGTTTTCAGTGACATTCAAACCTTAATTATCAAATTTAATGTAAGTTTTGGATTGGTTCAAGAATTTACTTTTATTTGTTTGTTTACTTAAAAAAAATATGTGCATGCTTTTGCTAGGAATTTGTATTGCTGCTGTGCTGTCAGTTATTACTAATTGTTTGGCTTTAAGAAATAGTACAATTGCTTGCATGCTTAAATATTGAATGTTACGTAGAATAGTTGTACAAAGAATCAGTATCATTTTCTTTCTTTCAGATATTCTGATGAATTTAGTGTTCGTGAAGATCTCATGGGTTTGGCAATTGGTGCACATGGAGCAAATATACAACAGGCTCGAAAAGTTGAAGGCATTACAAATATTGAACTGGAAGAAAACTCGTGCACGTTTAAAATTTATGGAGAGGTAATATGTTGATAAGAACATCATTTCAAACAGTTCATTTCAGTTGAATGTGACTTTGAATTTTTGGGCAATAGTTTTTTGACTAGAGGACAAGGGAGACGTTCAGATGCTAAAAAGAAAAAAAAATAATTTATGGAATTAAGTTTAATATTTTGTTAATATATTTCAATTGATCTTGGAAAGTTATTCAATTGTTTTACATTGTTCAATGTGTTAATATTGTGTATTTGTTTGTAGACTGCTGATTCTGTAAAGAAAGCTCGAAGCATGTTAGAATATAGTGAAGATACAATTCAGGTCCCCCGCATATTGGTTGGAAAAGTCATTGGAAAAAATGGTCGAATAATACAGGAAATTGTAGACAAAAGTGGAGTGGTAAGTGCTTTAATAAGTTTCTATTGTCATATTAAAATGTTCATAAAGGATAACGGGCTAAAGTAGCTGAGAGCATCAACTGATCACACTGCAGTTCATCTGAACAAGAGATCCTAGTGTTTTAGTCCCGACAGTGAATTCAGCTACCTTCTGGAGGAGAATTCTAGTGGCTGTCTGCTCTGATCTGTAGTTTTACATGGTTTCTATGATTACCACAAGGCAAATGCTGTAGCAGTTTTCTAAGAAAAAGGCCATGGAGTGCATGCAACCATTGTCCCTTTCCTATCCCCTTACGTTCACATTTATGAGCTTGTTCTAGCTGAGGCGGTGCCACAATGGTGCATGACATCTAGTTGGGAAAACCCCACAAGCCAACATAGGTCAATGCCGGATCTCACCAATCAGAGGGGGAAGTTCAAGGCCACCTCGCATGATAAAAACATGACTACTCTTATAAGACTAATGAGTCAACCTTAGCAGTTGATATTCCCGAAATCCCTAATCAATCAAATCATTTATAAAGAACAACTAAATGATTGTATTCCAAGCATAACTTTGTGGACTGTTCTCAAAGTGTTCGTAATATTCATTTGTAATCTTAAGATCTTAAGCTAATTAATGTGTGAAACTGCAGGTTCTTGTTTCTTCTGCAGGTTCTGCCATCTTGTTTCAAATGATATTTATGATCACTTATAAATCATATTAATTATTAAAAAATTTTAACATAGTTCAGTAGTAAACTTTGTTCAGTCATGTGATCAGATGTTTAGACATGAATTCGTGCCAAACAAATGGGAGATGTGGCATGCCAGGAGAAATGTGATGAATGATTGACAGTCTTTTCACAAATATGGGCTAACTGGGATGTGATGGTCTCTAATATTTTTTGTCTTACTGTAAACATGAAATCTATGTATGTATGTAGCTATAAGATAAGAAAAGTATTTTTCAAAATTACGTTTCTTGGGAAACATTGTTTACATGCATGATTTTGTGATTAAAATTTTCTCCTTTGCAAGTTTGTGTGTGATGAAAGTAAACAATGCAGGGTCTTCGAAATTCAGTCTTTATGACCTCTCCATTTATATCCATGTGATGAATTAAGTCACACTCTTCATATTCTTGAATACTTTTATCATGATTTGTATCAATTCTTATAATATTTTTTTTTTATTAGCGGTGATATTGGAACAATGTAACAATGATATTTGTTTGGAGGTGTTCATTATTTCTGACTTCTCTCTACCCCCACAAAGTCTGATAACACTTCTGTGAAAAGGTTTATTCAAAGGAACATTGATATTGTTAGTGCTGCAATCTTTGTACAACAGATATGTTCTGTCTGTCAATATCTGCCAGAAGAATTGGTGTGTCGAGTCATAAGCAGCATTGGGAAGGTTCAGAAGGAACATAAAAGCCATGTTGAGTGGAACTCAACATTTGGGAGGAAAATAAAAATTTTGATGTCGAGTGAGAGCTAGTGTAAAGAGTTAACAGCAGGTGCTCTAGCCCATATTGCTGGCAGAAAAATAAAATTTGCATAGCAGTGCAGCTTTTGGTGATGCTCATCTGTTTTAGAAACTACCAAAACAGTAGTCACCTGGCCTGAGTGGACAGACCACAGTCTTAAAATTATAGTTCTAGCACATTATTAGTTAAAGATAATTTTCTTTATATTATCACATCAAATAGTGAATTTCTTGCCAGTGGATTCCCTACATGGTGAAATTGAGCTTCAAATTTTTTTAAAGCTTTTTGTAGGGATAGAGATATAAATGTTGTGTTTTTGTGGTTATAAACAGAGTTTTTCCCTCTTGATTTTTTCGTTCAAAAATCACACAATTTAAAGTTTTTTGACATCTCTTACATTGTTAATACTTACATTAACTGTGATGTATGTTATTGAATTTGCTGAAATAAGTGCTTCAAATGATGTTTTATACAGTTTCTCAAACTCGAAAGTTTCTTGTTAAAATGGGCTCAAAATTTTGCATTCTCATAAACTTACAAATCCAGTTTTCTCAAAAATGGCTCCAGATTTTTTCTTCAGACTTTTTGTATGGATAGTGCTATATGCCCTGCAGGTGACTTAAAAACCATTTTGCTGCGTTCTTTTGTTTGTTTTGTTTTCCTCCTCTAAGGATTTTGCAAATGTACTTTTTTTAAATATCTCTCGTACCATTAAAATGCACATTTCTAGCGATTTCTTTATATTATTGTATTAGTGAGTGGAAGTGCTTCACATGACCTCCAATGGATTTTCTGAAGACATAATTTTTCAGTTAAAAAAGAGCTTCAAATATGGCATTTACAGAAACTCTCGAAGAACTTATTCCATAACATTGGTTTCAAATTTTTCAATGAAAATTTTCATATGTGACCAAGGTTTTACTCTATAATAATCTTAAAGTAATATTTCGATTCCACCATTCGGAAATCGAAAAAAATGTGCTTTGAATGGCAATAATGATAGCTGGCAAGACTGAGGACCTTGACTAGATCAAAAAAGTTAGAAAACTAACTAGTAGAAGAAAGTGTGTGCCATTCTGTAACACCACTAGTTAATAATGAATTTTCACACATACACTATAAAAAGAAACAATGTTTCTGGGGGTAAGGTTTTCCCCATCTGGTGATTTGAAAAATGTTTAGACAGTATCATAAAATATGTATATTCTCAATTAAATCATGTAGAACATTGGTTTGGCACTAAATGCTGTCCACGTGGTACACTTACAATTTTCAGTAATTCTGGTATTACATTTTGGTGTTGTGATAAGTTGCATTAATGTAATAGGAAAGTATGTAGCAGCCCTTTAGCAGTGAGTTTGATCATTATATAGGAATTTGTGTTTAATCTTTTGAAAAGTATTATCATATATTTGTTTCGATTGGATGCATTCATTTTAGAATTTTAAGCTATTTCTCAATATTATATGTCTGGTTTCTAAGACTGTTTTTGGGTATCTTCTATGTTTTGCTTTGTAATAATATTATCCATGTCTATAATGTGTGATTTGTTGATTCTATGGTGAGTAAAGAAGTTATGTCAGCAGGAGACATTGAATATGTTCTTATGTTCGTAATCTCTGGTTTTAGTTGTTGTGGTTTCTTTTTTGTCCTGTGAATTCTAATGGACAATCTTTACATAGGATTTCATCAATAATGTTACTACTGTTCATTTTGTTAATCTTATCTTTTTTATTTGTTACTAAATTTCTTTTATGTATCATTTTATATGGCATTGTTCGTTTTCATTTGGTTTCTCAATTATGAGTTAAATCTGATATGTATAGTAGATATTCTAATCGTATATAAGGATATGTTATTGTTAGTTGGATTGCCATAGTGATATTTTAAATGTCATTGTATATTTGCCTCAGTGAACTCTTGAAAGATAATAGTACTCAACCAGTAAAACTGACCTTCGATTTTGATGATGAAATTTAGATAACTAGTGTAACAAATTTGAACATTGTGTCTTGCCATGTGGTAAAAGTACATGTTCTTTACTAAATTACATGCACTGATTGTGAAAAGGAAATCAGAAAAGTTGCATCACATATCACTTTTTCTGGAAAAGATACGGCACTTATACCTTGGAAATGACTCTTTAACAATACAGGAGATATGAGGGGTATTGACCTACAGATCATGTAACAAGAAATATTTGTATTACAAAAATTTTATCTTAAATTATTTATATAATTAATTGTTGTTTACAAAACAAAATGAAAACAGTATGAGAAAGCTTCAGATGTACTTGCAAGCTAGAAACTTTTCCTGGAAACTTTTCATTTGTGGATGGATGGTGAAACTTCTTGTAGGAGTATTCAACAGTAATCTGCCAAGGGTTGATGACCATCTTCCCTCATGTCGCCTTTCTATGGCAGCAATATCTTAGTGAAATCGCCTATCATGTTTGTCACTCACATCTCCAAGATTAGATGGGAAGAAATTCAAATGGGAATGAAGGAAATGTAATTTCTGAGACATAATGCATTCCATAGCCTGTAATAGTCCAGCATAGGTTCCGTCAGTTACCTATAAATTCTCAGACTACGTTTCGCAAGACATTGTTGCATACATCTCTTTCAATGCAAGCCAAACTGCCTTCTCAGTATGTCAGCAACTGTTCAAAGGTAATGTCTTTTAAGAAGTCACGGATCTGAGGCTAAATGCCTTCATTAATTTTTATAGTACTACTCTCGGGTAAAGTAAGAATTGAAAACCATGGTTATCTTTGTCCTCTGGTTTCACAAAATTCTTCATAAAGCCCAATTGCATATGGAGTGGGGATAACAGCACAGTCTTTGTCAACAAGGGAAGCAAAACACATTTTTCACCATGATTGAAAATTTCTCTCAAAGGCCACTCTTTGACCACATAATGTTCTACCCTGCTAACCCCCGGCCACTGGAAACAGCAAAATTTGTGTAACCAGCCTGCATTCTTAGTAGTAGTCCCAGAACTTTGAGATATCACAGATTGTTCATTTGTGATTCAAATAACCAGTATACATAGAAGTAGCCTCATCTTCTTGTAGGTTTCTTTTAATTAAATGGAATGGGCCACTGGTGTCGAAAGTTTCTCGTTTGCATTGTGTAAGAGAATGGTTTGAGACTACTCTCTGGAGAATCTATAAATAGGTGCCATTCTTCCTGGATTGTGAATCATTTTAAATTTTGTAACACAATGCTATAATATTCTTAAAATAACAGAATGTGATAAGCGCCACGACAATATAAATAATACAGCCGAGTGCAGATAAAAAATTGCATTTCCAGAAAATAGTGTAGGTGATTACGAAAAATGTTTTCACTATTGTCATCAGCAGTGCTTGATTTATAAAATTTTAGGTCCCAGAACATGCCCCAAATTACTTATTATTTTTAATAGAAATAATTATATATTAATAATAT